CTATAAGTTTCTAAATGTGATGAATTACGCAGATGGGGATACCGTTTAAATTCACAAACTGTAAATTACTTGAAATAATAAATACTGTACAGCCCAACAATCAATATACACCAGGTTAAGGGAAAATTACACTTGTCGGAGCCTTAGCGTTCAGTACTGCATTCCGAACTTGGTTATAAAAACATTATTAGTACGGTTAACAGCTTACCTTTCTAAATATGGTGCTTGCTGGGTAGCAGTCTGTGGGTGACGGGACGAATAGTGACTTGGTGGCTGGTGACCTGGTGCTTGAGGTTCATGTGTCTGGTGACCTTGTTGACCTTGTGTCTGGTGAACTTGTTGTTGACCTTGTGTCTGGTGGCCCTGTGGTTGACCTTGTGTCTGGTGACCCTGAAGCTGGTGACCCTGGAACTGATAACCTTGCGTCTGGTGACCCTGTGGTTGACCTTGTGTTTGGTGACCCTGTGTTTGGTATCCTTGTGTCTGGTGACTCTGGAGCTGGTAACCTTGTGGGTGGTTGCAATGGTCGCGGGACACAACCTGAGGATGACCGCTGGCAGGTCCTACATGGAAGCCCGCCAGTTTTGGGACCCCAGGCGGCCACTCAGAAGACACGTCTGTCCACACCTGCACCAGAGTAAACACAAATCACTTGAATATTATACATTAACCGAGGTAAACTGGAGGTCATGATATTTCAATAATAAAGCACTGGTTAAAATATATATATATATATATATATATATACCTGATTTACGCCTCATTTACTATAGAGAAGGCTACTTACACTGTGATTCTTATAGTGAAAATATAATTAAGAACAAGAGGTAGAGCATTCTTATAATCATGCATTATACATAACTAAAAAAATGATAGTAACCACAGCACACTATTAAAGCAGAGCAAATGCAAATACAACAAAATTTGATTCGCGTGCGTCTCACCACTGAATACAACATACATACAGTGGCAGTTTTATTCCGGAAAAATGTACATAAACTCTGACTGACCTGTGAAGGCATCTGCGAGGGGAGCTGCGATAAATCACCGTCATCTTCCGGTGGTGGAGCAACCTCGAAGGGTGCTTGCCAATTCCTGGAAGAGTAATCTCATGACTCACTATAAAACACCTTATGTTAACACTATCATTCATGGCAATTTTAGCGGGATGCATAAAGGCGGCGGCACACTGAGTACTTTGCTTCATACATGTTGTCCGTTTTGCCGGCCGTTGGCCCAGCAAGCTGCGGGACTTCTGCTGTTGCAAGAAATGGACAACGGTTTGGCGCCAATTGGCAGGGGTCTTTGCTGGCCGGGTAGTGCTCAAATGAGCTTCATCTAGTTTAAAGAAAATTTTAAATAAATCCTGAAACAGTAATGATTTAGAATACAACGCATAAACGGTAACATTTTTCTATTCATTCGTCACTTTAAAACTTCTTTAGTATTATTCAAATCATTATTCAGGGTCTTCTTTGACCAGCCAGACGCCGCCACTTTTAAAAAACTTCACGACGTATCCATTGTCTTTTCTTTAGCCTTTGCAGACGCCTCACTTGCTTCAGCAATTGAAGAACTATAGCACAATCCTGCAAGACCTCAATTACTGTAGTAACGGGATCCATGGCGAACCTCGTCTGAACGCTTTGTTGTTTTCGTTGCTATATGGCATCACGAAAATTGTGACCAAGTCCCAGGTTGCTGATCTGACTTTCTGCCTCATTTACACACAGTTGCAGGTCTCAATTGTTTCTCTTACTTTGATAACACAACATACATACTGTATATCGTTTCTTACTATTGATTTTTTTTTAATTTTTTGATTTCTTTCTGGTTCTTTAGTATTACATTATTATTATTATTATTACAGTGTTGTTATTATTATAATTATCACTATATTTTATTTGTTTATTTTTTATTCTTATTAAAACATTTATTTTCTATGAATTATTATTATTATTATTATTATTATTATTAAATTTTCGCCTACCAAGCCCCGATGTGGGTCAGTGACCTGTGCCCGGGTGGGCTAATCCCCGTGAAAAGAAAATTGAATAAAAAGTCCCAGTGTGACGCAAAACGTCTTTGTTTTGCTGGCCGGACCGTGTTGGGCAAACATGTTTGGAGAAAATTGCTCAGTGTGCCCGGTGCCGCTGCCTTAGCACGTATACAAAATCATAAATGACCGTTCTGTCCGAAATCATTTTTCATGTGACACTATCAATATGGTTGATATATGTGTGGACATCGAAAAAATAAATATAATATTTATTCCAAGTTTAGAGTCCACTCATACTACACAATCATTTTAGCGCAAGATAATTACGCCAACAAAAACCTACATGGAGAGAAAATTTAGTAGGTCGGTCAAATGCTTAGGCTCGCCAAACATAAATGTTTTAAAAGTCATTAGGCAGAGTTTGAACTATCATAGCTTTAATTGGAAGGCTATTTAATTCATAAGAACATAAGAATGGAGGAAACTGCAGCAGGTCTATTGGCCCATACTGGGCAGTCCGGTTTACACCCAACCCCTATTGCTCATATATACATCCAACCTATGTTTGAAGCTATCCAACGTATTCGAGTTAATGATATGTTTGGTAACTTGTTCCACTTATCCACTAATCTATTTCCAAATCAATATTTACTTAACTAGCGCTTAAATCTAAATTTGTCTGATTTAAAACCATTGCTACGAGTTCGCTCCTGGTTGGATAGTTTGAGTACCTATAGTATCACCTTTGTTTAGCCTTGGCTTCCATTTATACACCTAGATCATATCGCTCCTCACTCTTCGTCTCTCGAGGGAGTTCAAATTATGATGCTTTAAACCTGTATCTATACTCAAGGTTCCTAATGCCCGGGATTAGTCTTGTCATTCTCCTCTGAATTATTTCAAGAAACTCTATATCCATTCTGTAGTACAGTGACCAGAACTGAACTGCGATCCTAACACTATATCTATGTTGTTTAAGGACAGGCCAGGAATCCAATGCTCTGTTTGTTCATTTGAGGGATAATAAGCATTGCATTGACTGGGATAATGCCTCCTCAATATTACCTTGTAATTCAATTGACAGTAGGAACATTATAGAATCTAGTCTCATTAAACATATCGAAGCAGTCAACATGAATTTAAGTAATGGCATGTACAAACTGGACAATTTTGTAATTAGAAGATTTGCAACCAGATGAGAAGGTTGGGTCACCTTACCCTCTCACCTGACAACCGACCGTTGCGGTGTTTTTTAAAGATTAGTAGGGTCATTACCTAGTACCTGACCATTGTGGACCTGGTCTCACCCTCCTCTGTATATATACACCTTGTTTTGTACTTCTCCTTAGTCTGTACTCACCCCTGAAGATGTGAATTACATGAAAGCGCTTGGGAACTTCGTGTTTTCTTTTTCCTTGTGGTTATCAGCATATATATATATATATATATATATATATATATATATATATATATATATATATATATATATATATATATATATATATATATATATATATGGTTGACCTTTTCTAAATCTTTTCAGTCTCAAGTTCTTAACCCAGATACTGTATAATTAAATGCACCCGAAGACTGTTTCAACAAGCCATAAGCACATAGAGATGGAACCAGCTAGCTAAGTGCTTCATGTGACGAGTTTCATAAAAAATGACATTAAATATTAATAGAAATATACTGAAAACTATAGTAATTTACTAGAATGAACCTGCTGTAGGATGTGGTGACAGTAACCACAAGGGATCCGAGTATAATGATGTAGGTAGCAACCACTTACCACAGTCAATATCAATACACTTGAATTAACTTGGTTTTTTGTGTGTGTGTCTGGTAACAATGAATGACGGCGCCTAAAAGTTTACATGAATGAAAATATGCCTAAATATTATTTAATCTAATCATACGCACGATTAATGGACTCGGTCTGATTTAAGGTAGTTTCTAACACAACTAAAATGAACGCAAACATTAAACAATGCTGAAAAGTTCATCTTTCTTTTGGAGAGGTTTCCCAAACACGTGATGTGATTCAGACACATTGCTGACTCAAAATTATTTTCGACCTCACGAAATATATAAAGAAAACCTCGCTGAACTTCGAAATGAATTTTCTTAGTACAGTATTTACAAAGTTAAATATTCAGTTTTCACCACTTTATTTTTGATGTTGATGGCTACCATAAAACCATTGCTCTTTGATACTAATTCTTTCAAGGCTTAATAGATATTTCAGTGTTTAGACAATTTGGCAAGTTACATATGGTAATGATGCAACAGATCTATATCTTTAGGATGGCCTGATTCTTACAATTTTGTTTTGACCATTAGGAAAGGTCCGGACAATTTAAAAGCTTGACAATGATTCGACAGCAAACTAACTAAATGTCTGATTCTCTATAACTACAAAGTATCAGTTAACTATTGGTGTTGAAATCTACTTCCTGGAACACAAAATGATAAAAAGTAATGTGAAAATATCCAGGGAAGAGAGCGAATAGAATAATACTCACGTAATGGGGAACATCAACTCGCTCAACCGTTCAATGGACAACAAACAAGATTGACATTTTCAGACAATAATTACCACGAACAATATATATTTTTGAGACAAAAGTAACAAACTAAGGTTAAATTTCTTACTTGACATTATCAAAGAATCTATAGAGTTGGTTTTAACAAGTTTTTTTTATTGTGTGCTCTGTAAATATAGACGAATGTACTGGTGGGAGTGTTCGTATTTATTATTATCCTGACCCTTTAAAATTTGGGCGCCAAATGTAAATCATATTCAACACTTGTGAATTTACTTCATTACCTCTTATGTATAAATACACTGGTAAAGTGTTCGTACTTATGAATAAAGTTTAATATTTATCTACCTAAAGAAGAGTAATTTGAGTGGGAATAACCTTTGTTTGGGGTTGTTTAAGAGTAAGCTTCATCAGTGTGGTGTTGGGCCGTGCAGCAGAGCAGGTCCAGTGATGGTGAGAGGCGGCGGGTGGTGTTCAACGAGCTTCACTCTTCATTTCAAATATTGCGGTGAAGTAATGGAAATATTGGAACCTTAAGATCTTGAATGAATTAGCAGTTGCCTTTGAAAGTAAGTATATAACTACTGTGGTGAATACGTTTTGTGAAGGCTAGAAAATGGGGTATGCAAAGGTCTGTGGTGGAGGTGGGCGCCAACCAGTTGTGTACACTGTACTATTGTGTGAAAGTTGGGGGCGTTGCAATAAGCATACGTTGTCTGGAGACAAGTGAATTGTGTGTACTATATAATGTACTTAATATTATTTAGTTGTCAAATATGTGACACGTGAAACTCCTGTGCACTACTCAGGAACTGTGTTGTAGTAAATGTTTTAACTTCGCGATTTAATTCCATCGCTGATTATCTGATGGAGGAGCAAGGGTAAAACCATTGTGAAAACAAATTATACTGACCAACTAACCCATAACTACAGAACGATCGTCTTGTATGGTGGTTCGTCTACAGCGTTTAAGATGGCGCAGAATAACTATAAAATAGTGCCAGAACTAATATGAACTTTTATTAAAATAATTAAAATTGTACCTGGTTCTGTAATAGATGAAATGATATAATTATTGGTGGCCCAGCTCGGACGCCACAAAGAGTATACCAACTCAGGCTCAGCAGACTGCAGTATTGTATTCAGGCATTTTTTTAAAGTAAAAAGTAATGGTAAGGGTGTAGTTTAAGGCTAACACCATAAGGAGTTTGTAGAAATCGTTGGAATTTTTTTTACGCACTAATAGCATGCTTATAAACACAGAAATTGACACGAAAATACATAGAACCTGACCTAACATACCTATAGGTTGGGTATGTTAGGTCAGGTTTTATTAGGTTCTATGCATTATCGTGTTAATTTATGTGTTAAACAACTTACTTTAATATTGAGGTTGATATACATCAGCAATGGCAAGGAGGAATTCGTGGAAGTGTTCACCATCATTTAATGGGAAAGGTCTCTTGAAGAAGGACTTCAGCAGGTAAACAACAAAAATGGCCTTCAATCACGAGCTACATTTATCCTTTATTGTACACTAGTCCGTATCAAGTGGACCTTCCCAATCACCCTACAGATACCTTGAGTTCTCCTTAATGCTATAAGTACATCCACTTAATATTATATGACCGTACCTTGGTACAATCCGTCTAGTAAGTGGGTTACTAAAGTTTCCCGTTTTCTACTGTTTTCTGAGGCTCCAAGCGCGGTGTTATGTAGCGTAATATGAATTAAAGAGACATTAAGTTTGACAATGATGTGAGCCCAGCAGCTTCAACCAGAGGTGAACCTGATGACTTGGTCATCTGAGTAAAAACTCGCACAGTATTCATTGGCTGTCCTTATGTTTTAGTCTTTACCACCATTGGTGAGTAGAATTTTTGTTTTACACTCATAAATATTATTTAAAACATATATGAACAGTAAGTGTTGCTTTCATATTCATATATAGAGATATGACGATATGTTTTCACATGTATTGTACGCACTAACTGTTCATACGTTGGCATTCCCAATCATCTCACTTTATTTCTTTACCATTAGTGGTTAGCTACTTCCAGTGTTCCATTTATTAACATTAAATAACATTACTTAAATCATACAAACAGGTATTCAATTTCTTTTTATTAAGTTCACTACAGATACAACCAGGGTCTTATTTTCTTCAGTTTATTATGTAGAACCATCGTCACTCACGAAAACAATGCCATCTTATCTCCTCGTGTGTGTTTTAATATTCTATTTATTATTAATGAATTGCATTGTTCATTTTACATATATAAACATTAATTCACAGTAATAAACAATAATGAATCTCTTGTACATATTCTTAAGATAAGTGACTGTTTCCTTGAGTGTGCATGTATACATTGGTGTTCCAATATCTGTCTCAATTTTCTTTAATATCAGTGGTTACTTCTACTGTACAGTCTCTCCTCGACTTACGACATATTCGACTTACGACAACCCGGACATACGACTGCCATGGTCGTTTAAAATATTTTTCAAATTACGTATTTTCGAGTCCCGACGTTAGTGATCGCGGTGTACTGACAAAATTTTCGTTTGTAATTCACTTTAAAATGGCTGGCAAGCGTAAAAGTGAGAGTTCTCGTGGTGCCGAGAAGAAAAAGAGACACCCATTTTAGAATTTTGATGTATTTTTTTTGCCTTTTCGACTTACGACCTGGTTGTCGGGACGGAACCTCGTTGTAAGTCGAGGAGAGACTGTACATTAAATAACATAAATTAAAACATACGTATTTTTTACTTTAATTTTACAACAACAACAACCAGGGTCTGATTTTCTTCAGTTTCAGGTGGATAACTGACATTATGGGTGTAAACACTGACAACAATGCCGTCTCTTATCCTCTTGTGTGTTTTAATGTTCTACGTATTGTTAATGAATTGTATTGTTCATTTCGCATATACTGTATAAAGATTAATTCAATCAAATACATATTCAGTAATAAACAATAATGAATCTTTTGTACATTTCTTAAAAAGATAATGGCGTGGTATCCTTAAATGCGCACGTATGTGTGTGTTGGCGTTCTCAATCCATCTTTTTTTTTTCTTTGCCATTAGTGGCTAGCTACTTCTTTTGTTCCATTTATTAACATTAAATAACAGTTAAAACATATATAATCATTTTTTTTACATTTATTTTACTACAGCTACAACCAGGGTCTTATTTTCTCGTGTAGAACTATCGTCCCGGACTCCCGGCTGTAAACACAAATGAAAAGAATGGCGTCCCATCTCCTCTTGTGTGACCATATTATTATTCATTTATATTGTAAAAGGTGCATTCAGAAACATTATTTAAAGAATATAGTTTGCAATTTTCATTAATTGTTTGGTTTTTTGGGGAAAAGAGGGTAACCCATCTCATTATTATTGCTTTATTCACCTTACACTGCAATATTGGAGGACACATTAACGTCGTTATTCGAGGCTTTACTGTACACTGTATTTTGCAGGGTGTTGTTAGAAATGTCATTGTTTACACGGTGCTCGCCTCCTCCTGTCTGGTAGGTGGGGGGTGGAGGTTGCGCTGCTGCCCCCTGACTTTGTGTCGGCTCACTTGTTTCCACTACCCTTCCCCCGAATATCCCATGTACACCCATCCCCGTTCCTCCTTGACTCCTCCCTCTTCTGCTTTATCCCTTAGGCCCCAGGTGACGTTCCAGAACGTCCGACTAGCGCACCCTGGGTAACGTTCCATAACGTCCGCCTATTTTCTTGGCATTTATTTTTTATTTTTTTATTTATTTATTAATTTTTTGTAATTATTTTTGGAAAAGTTGAATTTTTTCTCGATTTAACCCTGCAGGGTACTGCCAGTTGCACCCTAACCCGGGGCTTAAGGGTTAAGCCCTGCAGGAGCTTCTTGTGCTGTTCCCTCTGCATTACCGTGCGATCTGGGTGAATGAATACATTCCGAAATGCCTCGCTCCTTGCTAATTTTTTTGCCTGCCAAATAGCCTCCCACCTTTTTCGAGTGTTAAGGATAATTCTAAGACCACATACACTTTCACTATGTATGTGATCTTCAGCTTCCGCCCTCCTACCTTACCTGAGTCTGCCACCCCTATCTCTCCCTTCATCAATACCTCCGCTACCCTCTTATGATCCGTCTTGTAGTACGAGGGATTGATGATTAGATTGATTACTTTTGGCCATGACTGTGCTTGTCATATACTGTACTGTATAGTGAGACAAATTATAGCATATATTTAAATGATTAACTTCCATACATTGCTTGCACCCACATATTTTTCATCAATTTCTTAGTTCAGAGACTTTTAATCTGAAATATTTATTACTCCTAGGCCTAGAAATAGAATAATGTACCATTGTTAATCACATGTGTTCTTTCCTTTTATTTTTAGTTGGCCCCATAAAAAATGAAGAGACACAGTAATATGCCACATAAGTGGTATAACTTGGAGGAAGTCTTCACCTCATGTGACTCTTTAGAGAAAATATATGAATCATTGAAGACTATTCTTCACTTACAGTTGACCAACAAGTTATCTTGGTCACCTGATCCGAGTCGAGCTATATTGCATTGGTCTCGAAAGGTACGATTGCTGTTAAGTATACTGTAGCATTATTTTTTAAACAAATGTTTTTTGGTAAAAAAAAAAACAATGTTTTTTTTTTGCTTACCCTGATACAAAGTAAATTTTATTGAGAAGAAAATATTTAATCCCATAAATGCACAATAAGATTAAGCTAAGCCTGTTATAATTAATACCATTAGCTCTAGTGTGGTACAGTACACAAGATTTAATTGTTGTCCTCATGAAAATTCTTCTTAATGGTGCAGGGAATCTGGATTTATCTTATATGCTGGTGTTCTTATTATGTCTAATATTCTTTGCAGATAAATGACTCGCATGACATGTCCTCAGCATTTTGCCTTGTGCAAATATTAACATCATATGCAACAAGTGGTGCTCGAGATGTAAATGTTGAAACAATTTTGGAGGTGTTCCTTAAGTGTCACTGGATGATAACAACAGTACTGCTTCTGAAAAATCCTCGTTTTGAAAATCTAAGGAGTGCCTTGACCGGATTGTATTTTGTAAGTACTGGGTTACATGTACTGGCAACTGTTGGGCTTTATTAACTTGTATTAAATTTTGAATGAAGTGCTTTAGACTAGCTACAAAACTTTATATCTCTTTGTTGGCTGTTTAATATTTCTTCTGACTTACAGTATACAGTATCTAAAAAATACACCCAGGAATGCATCCCCCATATGTAATATTATTGTTGGGAAAATATCTACTGGTTTACGTCATTTCACCTTAGTCAGTTCTGCTATAACGCGATAGTTGTGTTTTTGTAAAACATCGTGTTGTAGAAATTCGCGTATTAGAAATAACAGGGCTTATGGAGAAAATAGGGTTAGGTGCAGATTACTACTCGAAATCGAAAAAAATTTAGTAGTTAGCCTAACACAAAGGATAGCACAGTCTAAATAAATGTTACATTCATATCTAAAAATGAAATCATACTGTAAATGTAACACTTTACCTTGAAAAAATATGAATATAACTTGATGGGGGAGAAGGGTGATTTTGAGGTAGATAACATCGAGCTTCTCTTCAAGGGTTATAGCCTTTCTTTTACGATCATCACTGGGAATGCGATCACCAGAACGCTTCTTGGAGATATTCTTTTTTACCATATTCACAGTTAATACCACAAAAATGGAGAAATGGTAAGCAAAAATCGCGTTACACCAAACAAGCATTCGCTTTATACAAATATCGTTCCTCTATTCATAAATCGCATTAGAGCCAATTCGCATTGTCAAAACACGCGCTATAGGAGAACTCGCTGTATTTTGTGTTTTTAGGAACACATCCACAACATAAATAGAGGACTTTCTGTATTTAGTTCCAGACATTTATGATTGCTTAGCATCTTATAGTAAAATATATAAAACTAAAGTTAGATTTTTGCCATTAGAGATATCATATACAGTGGGGTATGCTATAACGAATCTAATTGGTTCTAGAACCTTGTTCGTAATAGCATTCGTTCGTTATAGGATTAATCCGTTCCAGGCCCCCAAATACAACCACTTAACACTGAAAAATATAATATAAAATTATAAAAATTGTAAAAGTGCATAAATATGCATCTAAACCCCTGAAATAAAGAATATCATTAATATTTGTAATAAAAAAACAATAAATTAGAAAAAAAATAAATAAATAATGTTCGTTGTAGGAGTTTCGTTCGTTATAGCATTCTCAATTTTATAGGTAAAACAGTTCGTTATAGGAATATTCGTAGTAGGATCCGTTCGTTATAGCATACCCTACTGCACTGTACATTATTTTGAGTAATATAGGAGGATTTGAATAATTACCAATATTACTGAGGTAATTTTAGAACAGTACAGGGCTGCCTCGCTTATCGCAAAGGTTACGGGCATGAAACTCGTTGCGAATATCGAAATTGCGAACAGCGGAGCAATTTCTCCCATAAGAAATAATATAAATAGGGGGGATACGAGCGTCGCGGTGGTCACGGCCATCAGAATTTAACACTTGTTTTACTCACTACATATAGAACATAAAATATATAAAGAAACAAGGGCATAATATCAAATAAACATGAATAACAAACACCGAGTTTATTAGGTGTATGTGTTTACAAGTACAGTGGTCCCTCGGTTAACGAGCACAATTCGTTCCAGAAGGTTGCTCGTTTACCGAAAACTCATTAACCGAAACCATTGTTTCAATGGGTTTTTGGGTAATTGGTTCCAGCTCACCGAAAATTGCATAAAGTCAACAAAAAAGGTAGTAAAGTACACTTACTTTGAGGTGTGTATGTAGAAGGCTCCTGGATGATGATGATAGGAATTAGAATGGGGATAGAGGAGAAGGGAAGGCATTGGGGTGGAAGAGAAGTCACCCCATGGCACCATTTCACCCATAAAATTTCAGTTCTCTTGGTGAAATTCAAGATTATTTCTTTAAATCAACACTACACTGCATTATATATTGTCAATATGTAAAATAAATTTCAAATTGACCAATAATTTGCTTGGAAACACAGAAAAAAAGCGTTTAGTTGAAGTGTCTCTCAAGCAAGATGTTACCTCTACTGAAAAGACACAGAGACTGACGCCTGTTTGGTGTGTTGACAGGCTGTTTGGCGCGCATAAAACTAGTTTCCTGTACTTCAATTATGTTCAATAATTGTTAAAATGACTAAAAAAATTAATATTAAACTTTTAAAATTATTGAATAGTATAAACTTCTTGATATTTACTAAAACAGTAAGGAATTTAAGCCCTAGAACCGATTACTGTATTGGTGGACTAATACTACAGCTGGTGGACCGCCAAATGCAAGCGAAAACATGTGGAGGGTCGCTCGTTAATCGAGGGATTGCTCGTTAACCAAAGTTAAGAATCTTATGGAAGGTAAATCGTGAACCGAAATCTCGTTAACCGAGGCGCTTGTTAACCGAGGGATCACTGTACAGTTTACAGGGGTACTTTACATGTTTGAGTGTGTGAGTGTTTGAATATTTATGTGCGTAGGTGTGTGAGGTAAGTTTTAAATGTAAACATCACGGAACCTCGTCACCTTCGTAGCCGTCAGTGGTGTTGCAGACCCGGCCATCTCCTTGATTTTGTCAGTGCTTTTAACTATAGAATGCACCGTTGAGGGAGCCAAGCCATACACGTGCCCAATCACTGACGTTCCTTCTCCTTGTTCATGTCTTTTTACGATATCCAATTTCACGTCCACGTAACTGCCACACGTGATCTCTGAGCAACATTGCTGGGAGTTTTAGTAGCTGGTCTCTTAGGCATTGCTAGATCACACAAAACACAACTGCGAGATCACTCAAAACACACACACTAGCACGTGTGAGACTGAGGCGAGCTGGAGCATATGGCGGAGGAATACGTACACACGTACACACACTGTCCTACGCTACGGTTGAGGCGCTGTTCAAAATTTTTGCTCGTAAGAATTTGTGAATAAAATGGGTAACAATAGATTGATTGCGGTTAAACAGGGTTACAAATACCGAGGCTATGAATAACAGGGTTTGCCTGTATATTGTACATTGGTTCTTTTAATATTCAGATAAATGAATATACAGTACTACAGTATATAAGACTACCAAATACCCTGTACAGCTCTTCTGACATAAAATATTGTGATGTATTCAGCCATTAAACCATAAACCCTAGCCCAGTTAAAAAAAAAATTAATGAAAAAGAATGTAAAAAAGGTCAAATGGGCACAACTGCCTGTTAGAGACAGTGTAGATACAGCACACTGTATACTGTACTAAGCCTTGTATGCAAGGAGATAGCATGGCCAGCACTGCACTAGACCACTTTTACTTCCCCAACTTGTATAGGTAGATGAACTGGGATTGAAAAAGTGATGCCACACTCCATGTTATCAAACAAATGTAGATGCCATATAATGCAGGGGCATGACAGCCTAATAGACATGTCTAGACCCTGATGTGCAGGAGTTGAAATCCAGACAATTAAAGGATGCTCCCTCACCAGCCAGATCCACTGATCAAGGAGCCCCATGATGCAATGAAGACCCAAGGGAGGCTGAGTTGCACCAAATGCAGGCATTGTCTCATCTTTTTTATTGTAGCCAGATGTTTGATACAATGATCTTTCTTTCTGACCTGGTGACTTTGAATTTTTCTTCATCCTTTATTCTTTCTAAGTAAATAATATTCATGCCATGGCCATTCATTGATAATAATGTTGATTTTAAATTTTTTGGAGTGAGGTTCTTCAGCTGGAGACTCTGAGCTTATTAACTGTCTACATCAGTTCAGGGTCACTGTGTGTGTGGCATACTGTACTCTCAAGCCATCAAATATCTGCAGAGTTAGTAACTTCAGATTACTGTATAAGGCAAAAAAAAACAATTGTAGGTTTGGCATTAAAAGATTATGAGATGACTAATTTTCCTGATTATTCCAGTCACCATTATCTGTGGGGTTGGGGGAGTTATGTGATTGCAAACAATCTGAAGGACATGCACTTTTTTCAATTCTTTAACTCATTTTATCAGTAATACCGTTCGTCATATCAAAGCATGTTGAAAATCGGCTGTGATTTGAACATGTTCTAGGGTTTCTTTTGATCTTTGCATTTTAATGTTAAAAAATAATTAGTTAAGTTAATTAAGTGATATGAAAAATGTTTGTTTCTACTAATTTTCAGAGTCTCATCGAATGCCACCAGAAGACGTTAATGTCACACTTTTGTGAAGTTGGTCGAACTTTTCTGAAATCTTTGGTAACTCCCAATATGCCAGCACAAATAAGGACCCAGTGTGTGAAGTTGCTCAATGAATTGCTGAAGTTGTCCCCATCCATGGCTCGAGATGTCTTCAGGAAGAAATACAACAAATATTTGTGAGTCGCATGAATTTTTGTCTTGATGAGAATGAAATGTGGAAGGAGGCAAAATTATGAATGCACTGAGGTTATCACAGGATTTATATGTGGATGATGCTCCTGTTACATTACCCAATCACATACTGGTATGAATTGCATAATATGGTAAATTTTTTTGATGAAGTTTGTTGGAGGAAAAGGAACTGTAGTATTTGAGAAGTTTGTAGGATTGATGATGTTAACATCTTGTGTACAGGACCCCCTCTGAGCTGAGTAAAATCGTCTGCCATTAACCAAATGAAATATTAAAAGTGGCTTCCCGTAGTGGAGGGGTTAAAACTGAAGATAATAGAAATCTTTAAAAACTTGAATGAAGAAAAATTCATGGGTACTTACTGAATGTGTGATGCATTGTGGGGAGGTAAACCGTGTGATAGATCATACAAGTCCGAAAATATTTCCCACTGCCCTAACTTCAGGGGAATTATGGAAGCACTACTGTATTATCAGGAGTGTTTGAGCAGAGATGGGTATTATGTATGCAATGGAGGGAGAGGTGTGCCTGCTTGTGGCAAATATTGTGGATAAGGGTTTTGTATGCCAGTGTGAGTGTATGAAGGTGTTGCTATTGTAGAAATGAGAGATGTTTTGGTGTATTGTATTTCAAATGTGTTGAAGGTTTGGGTGTTCACTATGAAAGTAGGAATATGGTTAAATGTAAGGGTTAGTGAAAGTATGGTATGTGAGGTACAGTGTTTGTTGTGTAAGTTGCCTGGGCTTGTGACATCATTGTCATATTAATAATACAGTACTTTTTCTTTATTACTACCAGTATCTGTTTGGTCATTTTCTTTTTTGTGTAGGTTTTTCATTCCTTAGCTCTTTGTGGAAGCAATACTGTACATCTTTGCTTTTGTTATAGCTACAGAATATTCCATAAGCTGCTTTTTTAGTTTTAACAGTTTTGTTTTGTATATTTTTAGATAAAAATATAAACCCAAATAAAATATAATAATCAGGCTCACTATATGGGATTACATATTAAGAAAAATAGCAAATATTGTTTTTGCTATTTCCATCAATATTTTTTTTCACATTCACAGTTGTAACTGTATTGGGTTTCATGGCATTATTGTTATGCTAAGAAATCCTAACTCATGAGACATGGGTATAATCTCAAGGCCAGAAAAGGTTTATTGGGAAATTTTCAGCTGTGGTGTACCGTACATTGAACTGATCACCAGCCATGTCAGTACCCAGGAGGTCACCGATCCTTAAATTGTGGATAACCGTTTTGAGGATATTAGTTCCTTTGGCTCAGTTAGTTTATTTACTGTTGTTTTAATTGTTGCAGTATGGATCTGCCAAATTTGCTGCAAGTCTTAGGTGACTATGATGCCCAGTCCAGTGTAGTAGAAGCCATTTACCGCATGTCCACCTCATTCGAGAGAAGCAAATGTGTTACGCAGTGGTTCCCAGATTTGGACTGTACTCTCCATTCACTATTTATTAGGATATCAGAATTTGATCCTGTAAGTATTATTTGTGATTTTCTTTTGAATGAATTACAGATTAGCCAAGTTAAAGAAGTTACTGTACTATAATAAGTGCATTGAAAAATGTATGGGGGGAAATACTGTATTAAGGTAGACAAAGAGGGGAACTACTGTATAGGTTGGTGGTAAAGAGTGATGGAAATAATGTTCTGTACATAGCATTGTTGAGAGTGAGACTTCAGAACCCATCAGGGTTTTTGAAGGTTGTATGAACACACTAAGAGAATGATAAAGGAGAGATAAGATTGTTAATTCAGAGGTGGATATTCAAAGAATGTAGGAAAACCTAAGAAATAACTGGTAGAATTGGGTGAGAGAGGCACTAGATCAGAGGCAGATGGACAAGGATATCTAGGATGGAGTAATGAGTGAATGACCAGAAAGCATTACATCAAATAGGTGATGCCTAGTTGTGTGAAGTGATAGGGTTAAACTAGATGGATACCTTAAGGCAATGTTGTGGAAGGAAAACCCCATAACAGTACACATCTGTAATAACAAAAAGAAAGCAAGAATACCCAGATGAAATAAGTCAAGTTCCTTTTGATTTTGGCAACCTCATGTCATCAGGAATAAACTTTTGAGGTTAATAAGATTATTTTATTTTGCAGGACTGTCGTCGTTTCTTGAATGCATTTAATGCATTTCATGGAGACAATCGTAAAGTCTACACTCTGCCTTGCCTGTCAGCGATTATTGGTAAATTGCCTTTGAGTAAACCTAAGGTAAGGAAGAGAGCCAATAGAGTACAGTATTTAATGTTCTAGGATAGTAAATAGGAGGGAATCAGCAACATATAGTATTATTACAACCTTAGAAGCTTCTCTTTTTTTTTTTAGAGGGGGGACCATGTAGTGAAAGAAGCAGAAATAAAGTTTACAGGACTCAAAAGAAAACGTATGAATAAAAATCATTGATAGAACTTTTAATGAGACTGGCTGAATGAGTACTGAGCAGTGGTGGATGAAAGATTGAAAAACCTTAGTTGAATAAAGTTGCTATTACTCCAAGAAAAAAATTCAAATAAAATTATAATTACATTATCTTTGTGTTACACACACACTTGCACGGAGACAAACATTTTTAGGGGTGTGACTTTTAGTGGTGTGGCCTTCTGCCAACTCCAAATACTGTATGTACATTTTTCTGAGTAATGTTCTTTAAGGTGCATTTATAGAAGTGGTGTCTGAGTGTTAGCACCAGTTCAGTGGCCCTTCTTAGGTTGTGCTCATTAGCTGGCAGCCTTTACCATATCATGGGGACCAATACAGTACAGTACTCCATCTAAGTACAGTATGTGTAGTATTTTCACGCTCTAAATCTTTCCAGCTTATTAGCAAGATTTGTTTTTTTCTGACAATGATCCGAGAATTTTAGTTTGTTATTAACATAAGCTCCCAAATATTTTTCCATCTAGTTTCAGTTAGGGGGAATGACTTTGCCACACTGGAACATATGATACACTTCCCTACTATTGATGTGACCATGGACTTATTGCATTTAGAAATGCTGAGTTACAGCATCCATTCCCTTGACCGCCCCTGATGCTTATAGATATCTCCCTGTAATGCTTCATAGTCTTTTAGATAATAAATTTCACTAAATAGCTTAGTCACTTACGACACAGTGATCACTGTCAACTGAAGCCACTGTAGGTATGTAAATGCCCAGCAATAACTCGCCAGGCCAACATACAGGCAATTAAAACCTCTAATAATTACTTAAATATGTAATATTAGGAGGACACGTCACTATCTGGCATTTAATTGCAATTTTCAAAACCCCCTCCATCACATGCATTGCTATCGTCATCTCTTGCCCTAGAGCGAGCAGTAAACAAATGTCACCTCTCGAGGGGTGGAGATGGGTGGGATGTCAACTTCGCATTCCGAACTATACAGTATAGTCTGCATTTACGCGGGTTTTGTTTACGCGTTTGGTCATTTACGTGGTTCCTTGCCAGAATGTAAATGCTTTAATTACGCGGTAAATTTGGTTATTTACGCGGAGAGCGGCTGGAGGTCCAGACGCTCCACGCCATTTTTCATTCAAGCTGTCCATTCTCAACCATACGCGGGAAGTGGCGCAGTGATGGGTGCGCATTAGGTCGCTGACGCGTTATCGCTGACGTCATATTACGTATCGGACTGTGATTGGGCCACGCATCCTTACCACCCACGCATTCCCTCCGCCGCTAGCTGTGATTGGTCTAATGTTATATGACGTGGCCTGGGACGGGAGGGAGTGTCTGACCCAGCTGTGTCACTCTCATTGTTCTCCTGTCGCTGCGTATACTGTTCTCTATTGTGCTCGCTAATCTGTTCAACAATGGCATCCGCTGGACCCCCACCACCACAGAAAAACCTTGCATTACCTGGACCCAGCCGCCCCAAGCCCAAGAAGATACGACGTTCCCTAAGTTACGAAATTAAGTACAAGATCGTGCAAGATTTAGAAAAAGGAACGAGACAAGTTGATTTGGCGCGCCAGCATGATGTGAACGAATCTATGATCCGGACGATCAAGAAGGATGCCGCCAAGATTAAAGAACACATGAGCATCACAAAGTCTGCAGGTGCTTCAATGGTGAAGTACTGTCAGAATAAGGTGCTGCTCAAGACTGAAAACTTGCTGGTGAGCTACTTAATTCGTCAGGGAAGACGTAACATGGCGGTCGACACGTGGGTAGTGCAGGACTACGCACGTGAACTGTACGCATCAGTGGCGCACAAGAAGGGAATTGCAGAGCCCAAATCCTTCACTGCTTCCTCTGGGTGGCTGCAAGGGTTTAAGAAAAGGAACAAGATTACCAACATTAACATTGTTGGTGAAGAAGCGAGTGCTGACCGTGCTGCCGCCCTGGATTTTCCTCCATTCTTACGAGAAGTTATGGAGGAAGGACAGTACACCAACGACCAGGTGTTCAACATCGATGAGTCCGGTCTGTTTAGGAAAAAATTACCTTCCAAGACCTTCGTTGTCCAGTCTGCCAGCAAGTGTCGGGGCCGAAAATTGCAGAAGGAGCGCATCACCGTCCTGTTTACCACCAATGCCTCCGGTACCTGTAAGCTCAAGTTGTCGGTGATCCACACAGCCCACAAGCCACACGCCTACAAGAACATGGACATGACCAAGCTAAATGTCCACTGGCTAACCTCACGTAAGGCGTGGATGTTCACTGGTCTGTCCCTCTCCTGGTTTGACGACCCGTTCGTTCCTCACGTCAAGAAATTCTGCGCGCAAAATAATGTCCCATTCAACATTTTGTTGCTGCTTGACAACGCACCAGGACACTAGCCCCTACTGTTGAATCGTCACCCCAATGTAATTGCAATTAAATGCCAGGTAGCAACGTGTCCTCCTAATATTACGTATTTAAGAAATTATTGCATGTTTTAATTGCCTGTATGTTGGACTGGGGAGTTACTGCTAGGCTTTACACATAGGTATACAGTATATATGGGTATAAAGCTAGACGTCGCATTCTGGATTGAACAAAAATTATGGTATACTGTATTCATTGTTCCAAGGATCTGAGACCACACACCTGACACCACTGGTATTTGCACCATGTAGGATTGTCCAGCCTTAAACCCCTCCTGGCATTCCTTCACAGGCTGTACTGTTGTAGATGGTCCATCATGACATTGCATGTAATGCTCCTAAGTACTTTACACACATGCTGGTCAAACTCACTAAACTGTAATTAATCTTATGGAGGCAATTGTCATTCTTTAAAATATAATTCACATATGGCAATATTCAGTCATTGGGATGTTTTGTTCATGCAAACTTCTGTGTAAGAAGATATATTTAAAGGTACTGTGAAGCTTGTATAAATCTCTTTAACACTCTAGGATGCACACTATCAGTTGTGTATGAAACAGTTTTTCACCAAGAGCAGGTAGATTATTTGTATCCTCTCATGAATACCTGTATGTTACTGCTGCTAGAATTTGAAACCTGAATAAGGATGCCATGAATTGGGAGGGAGACTTGGATAGTGCGGTTATGTTTTTAATTTTCACTAATTTAACAGAATTGTTTCATTTATAGTTTTATGGTCATTAATTAAATCAGGATACATTTGAATACATTACATTACATGTCTTTTTAAATTCTTTTCTAACAGGATCCCTCATATCAAAAGTTTTGGGTTGACTTTAACCTGGGTTCTCAGACCATTTTACTTCTGTGCCATAAACAACCAGATATAATAAGAATGGAATCTTCTGCTAGTGTAAGTATTCCCTGTTCACTTTTATGTAGCTATTGGTATGGAATATATTTGTGAAACATTTCTACCTGTTGTCACCAGTCAACCTTGTCTTTTTCTAGGCTTGTCTTGTGTCACTGGGAATAAAACTTTTTCCCAGTTTTTATCTTGTTTGTAGATCCCTGGTGAACCAGCACCATGAATCTTATAATCATGAAATGTTATTTAACATCTATATCCCCTGATATTAAGGTTAAAAAGTCACGATTTAAATAATTTTATTTTAATGATATTTACCTTAAATCTCAGGCTCGGCAGGTTTTCATGCAAAATTTAAAACAGTGCTGTTGCCCTTCTTGGAAAGTTATGTAAGTTATGATATTTACCAAGATGAACTACTTGAGAAGAATTATCATTAGTTAGCTTATTTAGTGTCATTCCCATCATTAAGACTTATAGTTTGTGCTTCTTTTCAGATATGACCATTCTCGGTTTAGTTTTATTTACTTTGTATTTTTATTGTGTACAGCCTCCATGGGAAAGCTTGGTACTTGACCAAGATGATATCCAGAAAGTGGTTTTAACACGTACAGTTCAGGTGTACATCCTTGAAATTGTCATGGTAAAGGTGGAAAAAGTGGCAGAGTTGTTTTCATCACCACTCTCACTTGAAATTAAATCACGATTGACTGAAGTTTTTGTGTTTGAGTTTGCCCCAACTGTTGTACTGGAGAAAGTCTGTGCACTCTTGTTCTGTGAAAAATTTAAGGTTAGTTATTTCTTATTACTTTTTATTCCCATATCATAGAATTATTTGATGAACGCTTAGTACAGGGCGTCCTCGCTTAATGTCGGGGTTACTTTCCTGAAAACGTGACGTTAAGCGGATCAATTTTCCCTATAAGAAAGATAAAATACGGGAGTTACACCTGAGCCTCTGCCCATGAAAAAGTTACATATACAAAAAACCATTGCCATTTCTATAGAGAATAGTATACCGTATATACTCGTCAATAATTCTACCTCGTTTATAGGTCGACCCTGATTTTTTGACCAAGAAATCATTAATTTATGATATGCCTCGTTTATAGGTCGACCCAAGTTTTTGAGGGTAATGGAACAGCAAAACCTTCACTAAAAACACTCTACGTCCTATAAACTGAGGGTCGCTGTGCCTGAAACACCAATCGCCGAAGGCAAATTGTTTACCATTATTACGACACTTTACACTGAAACGCGGGTAGTTTCAGCAAAAATATTGTATATTTCCATTCAAGTATTTATTCAAGTCAATTTGGAGGGAATATTATTGTAATACAACAGTTTTTTTAACTGAAAACCATTCGAAAAGCGATTACGGTAACATCTTTTGAACAATGAAAGAAAGCGAAAGTTGATTGTTTTCGTCATGGTTTTATCCCACTTTCCACTGTAATATGTATGTCTTTTCAGAAAAAAATATTACATTTCTGTGAATGTATTATATCAAGCACAGTATGAATAGAATATCATTGTAATATAACAGTATTTTAACCGAAGACTATTAAAAAAACGAGTAACATCTCTTGTGACGTTCCACGAGTAAGGGCAGCGTGCCGAGCCGAGAGAGCATAGCGTGGCCAGACAAGCAGGTGATGCGCCGTAGAAAGTAGTCCGTGACGACGCAATGCTACTTAGTATCGGATCACCTGGATGTTAAACAAATTTTTGATCTCTAAAAGTTCAGCGACGTAGTACCGAAACAACGTTAAGCGAGGACTTACTGTACTCTATTATCCATTTATTGATGAATTAATATTGGAACTTAAGAAGGTCTTTTTAGATAAAAATGAAATTTTAGTACTGCTTCGTATAAAGAACATCCATTTCATTGGCTAACAAGCTGATCAGTGGCGAAGAGGATAAAAATAATACTCATCAGCTTCATACAATACTGTACAGTACTGTATATGCCTTCTGTGATGTTTATAATATATGATCTTCACTTTTATTATATACCAGATTGTTGCTCTAGAACCAGAAGGCTGGGTTAATATTGCAGCGAGGGCATCCTGTACTCAGTCTGGGGTAAGAATATCTTGGCAAGTATGATTTGAAATATCTGTTCACAACCTCTTACAGTAGGCATTCATTTATTAGAAACTACTCTTCTCCCATGGTTTATGATTCCCATATTTGTTGTGGGGTCAGCTACTTCTACCCTACATAGACATTATTAGTGTGCTCTCCACTGCATTTTCTTTTCTCCTTGGTCATGAATTAGGCAGGCACTGTACAGTACTTCATATTTTCAAGTATTTTACAGTAGAATCCCAGTTATCCGGTATCCATGCAACTGGCAGATAATATAAATACAAATTCCTCCAAAATCAGCTAGAATCGTTAGTTTGAATACCACACGCAACGGGGATGAGCTGCCATTTTTATTGCTATGATAAACAATAAAATAAATACATAGCATATCATAAGATACAATAGCACATATTTTATGTACAAAAATAGCTCCTTCCAAACACAAACCATCCTCTGGGTTACATGACACAGTTCAGCCAGGCAGTCACCCAACTGACTAAGACATGCGGTTGCTACCCTGGCTATGTGTATGCCATGACATCACATCGGGAGGGAATGTGTCCACGCAGCTATAGCCCTGTAACCCACTGCCTCCACACACATTCATTTCCCTGCAAGTTGTGTGTAAATGAGGCAGAAAGTCAGTCAGATTAGCATCTTGGGACTTGGTCACAATTTTTTTGATGCCATATGGTAGCAGGGTCTACCATTACACAACACTAACATCAAATTTCTTCCAAGGTACATATGGTAGTACCTCCCTGTTTGAAAGCTGCCTACTACATACAATACTACCTACTATACTAGCAGTGGTTCCCAACTTTTTTTGGCTGCGACCCTAAATTTCCCAACAATACGGTGTCGTGTTCCTCAGGCATATAATATATTATATAGCTTGAATGTTAAGCAAAAACTTTTTTATGACTTTGTAATAAGTACTATATTTTCTAAATTGTTTGAGAGCCCCTCTCGACCCTACTGAGGACACCGTGCGACCTTGATTTGGGTCGTGACCTGAGGTTGGGAACCGCTGTACTATAGGATGTAATATAGAATGTTTCTTAATTAAAAAACTAAAATTCTGATAATAATCAAAAGAACAGTACTGTACTTGAAAAGAGATCTTTATAGGTAATATCAGACAATCATGCATAAGCAGAAAATTTCCTAATATAATTTTTGTTTTTCACATTGAGTATTGTTTGCATGAATGATCATTCAGTATGGTTTTGTAAGTTATGCAAGTGTTTAGATTTTACTTTGTTTGTACAACTGTATGTAGATATGCATACATTAGTAACAACAATGAAACAAATCCTTGAAACAAACAGAAAAATGGTGTTTGTATTTTCCTTTTTTTTCCAGGAAGGTATTAAATCAAGTTGCTCAAATAGGAGGTATAGAAAATGCTCCATGAACATGATCCATTGTAAGGCTAGTGGTACCAGCACTTCGGAACCTCTGGTAAGGCTTGGTTCAGTCATTGTAGCTAATATTTTGAAAGAGACACCAGCCAATCAGCTATTTATTATGTCCAAAAATTTGACTTCACTTGCAGGATGTTCATCACAGGATATGGATGCCTCAGGTCTCATAATACTGTACATTATTTCAATACCTTAGATCTAATTACAGTGAAACATTCTATTTAATGGACTACAGTATGTAGAGAGAAAATTCCATTACATTGAGGGTCCAGTCGATGTGAAACTTCCATTTAATGAACTATAAAGAAAGTAAAGTCTGTTATATTGAGGGACCATTAGATGTGAAACTTCCGTTTAATGAACTATAAAGAAAGTAAAGTCTGTTATCTTGAGGGACCATTAGATGTGAAACTTCCATTTAATGAACTATAAAGAAAGTAAAGTCTGTTATCTTGAGGGACCATTAGATGTGAAACTTCCATTTAATGAACTATAAAGAAAGTAAAGTCTGTTATCTTGAGGGACCATTAGATGTGAAACTTCCATTTAATGAACTATAAAGAAAGTAAAGTCTGTTATCTTGAGGGACCATTGAGATGTGAAACTTCCATTTAATGAACTATAAAGAAAGTAAAGTCTGTTATCTTGAGGGACCATTAGATGTGAAACTTCCATTTAATGAACTGTAAAGATAAGTACAGTAGTCTGGATCTATCTTGAGGGACCATTAGATGTGAAACTTCCATTTTGTTAGTATGAACTATTCACTCTAAAAAGTATGAACAATTGTGTGTACATGTAACAGTAAAAAAAAAACAGAGGTAAAATTAAGAAAGTTGTGTACAGTATAGAGAGGGTCCCCGACTTACGAGCGCCTGCCAATACGAAGGGGTTAAACATGAAAATTGTAGCGATGTGTCCTCCTAATATTACTTATTAAGTAATTGTTAGATGTTTTAATTGCCTGTATGTTGGCCTGGCGAGTTGGCTAGGAATTAACATACCTAGGTAGCATTTGCTGACGTCACATTCGAGCTATATCACAAAAACTGGTTTTTAGAAAAAAACGTCTTTTTTGTTCAATCCAGAATGCGATGTCTAGCTTTATACCTAGGTATGTAAATGCCTAGCATTAACTTGCCAGGCCAACATGCAGGCAATTAAAACATCTAGTAATTACTTCTTAACATAGTTTATAGCTGTGCGTGAAGAAATGTTTATTCCCTTTATGTTTTTGACTTTATGATAAGTATATGCAGGTATATATATTTTGCACATACTGTATGAATCATTGTGTGTGCATGTAATAGAGTAACAAAAAAAATTAAGAAAATTATGTCCAGTATATCTACTTGAAATTCCAAGTTAAACAATAATACAGTATAGCTCACAGCTCATCCTCATCCACTCTGAGTGCTACTGGGTCGCAACTCTGTTTCAGAATTACATGCTCTCTCCATGGGTATTATTCCTCATTATTCATTGTTTAGGATATTATTCCTAGTTATCATCATTTATACTAGGAATACCTGTACTGTACCTGGAAAAATTCTGGGACTGTGGAATTTTTCTCGATTTGAGAAATTTCTCTCATTACCTGGAAATCTCTTATTCCCAGAAGAGCTCTGACCCAATTGTTCCAGTTAATGTATACAGTACATATACTTACAGGGAGAGGCTTGTATGAGTGAAGAAAATCAGTGTGATTGTTATAATATGAGGGCATTATGATATCAGTTCTTTATGTCTTAAGAAATGTAATACAGTATAGTCTGGGTTTACGCTGATATTTTATACGCGTTTGGCCATTTACGCGGCACCTGTCCAGACTCGCCATTTATTAGTTACGCGGTACATTCCTTAATTTACACAGCAAGCGGCGGGCAAGCTGCTGGTCGCTGACGTCACCGCTGACGTCAGACTCGTGCCGATGACGTCGCGGACTGTGATTGGGCCACGTATTCTTACCACCCACGCACCCCCTCCGCCGAGCACTGTGATTGGTCTATTTAACCTTGCTTGTCCAGTCAACAAAACATTACCGAGTTCTTCACCCACCACAGCCAGCCCAAGTCAGTGATAGTGAGGATATGGACTTTGAGGGGTTTGACAAGGAGGCCCTGCTAGCCTCTGTGGTGGATAGTGATACAGGTGATACAAGTGATACAGGTGAGGGCCAATAATCTGCCCTCTGCCTCGAAACCAACCCCCCACCCCCGTGTGCCCAGCTATTTCTTCTACTAACGTAAGTGTTAAAAAACCTAATATTATTGATATTTCTCTTAAATGTTAATTGTGTGTGCATGCCATCATAAAATTAAGATGTTAATTTTACTACAACATACGTATTGTGTCGGAAAAAGGGTAGTCTGGCGGTCGGCCCAGTCTCTTATTTCAATTAATCCCACATGTTCTTTTATTTTATTTACGCGTTTCGCGTTATACACGGACCTCCATGGGTTTAATTGACCGCGTAAACCCAGACTATAGTGTACATTATACACTAATGAGGTTGTTAAAGCAGGAGGTTGGAAATATTTTTATTGATAATGAATGTTAAAAACATGCATTTAGTATTTCTTAATGGTAAATCTGCATACAGGTACTTACTTACAGAATGAGGTTTGTGTTGTTGTGAAGAGGGATGTAGAAAAGGCAGCATCTGCATCAGCTGCACACCTACATCCTACACAGTGTTCAGAGACTTCATGTGCTCAGAAATATAAAAAGTCCTCTATTACTTATGCTTCTGGCTCAGTCCCTGGTAAGGAAAATGGCTGTCAATTTTTTTCAATTTTGTGATCATCTAATTTTTAAATATTCAAGTGTGATTACAGATGTGTACCAAAATTACATACAGTATTTTCATCCTTGCATGTACCTTCAGGTATTTAAAATTATTGAGGTGTGTGTGTGTTATTGTACCTATTAAAACATTATTTTTTTGTGTAGGAAGGGGCCAGTATGCTGAAGTCAGAAAGGGGTCACAAAGGTAGAAAAATAAAAAGCAGAAAAAACACTCAACCTATGATACCTAATCATACTGTTTGTTCCTGCACAGCCATCCCCTTCACTTGTAGCATCTCTCTCACCCTATCCTATCATCGCCTTGATATTCCTTGCTTTGTCTTTCCTTCCGCTTCAGAATTATAAACTTATTTTGTCCTATATTCTCTAAAAAATATCCATACCACTTAAACTTTGATCAGCTCTATCCATCATATCTTTCACTTCCACTTTATTTTAGCCTCTGCCACTGATCAGCCTGTTAGCTGCTTGGGCAAGTTGACTGTGAAAATGTTTAGAAATTTTATGTAATTTTCATAATTTAGCAAACTTTTATTTTACAAATGGTTTACTTATTTAGCAGACATTTGAGTGCAAAGGTGCATTTTATGTGTAGGATTGCTATTTTGGTGGTTTGGTCACACACTATGTTCCACCTAGTTGTGAATCACAGTTGTCACAAGTTGATAGGTTGGTTATGCTGTTCTTTTCACCCTTTGAGGGTATAAGAGATTTAATGGAATTAGTCAGTGAAATTTGGAAGAAATTAATAATATTACTCAAAATGGAAGTTAGAAAATGGTTTAAGTTAATCTGGAAGGTTAGAAGAGAAAGTAGTTACTTTTTGCATTGGCTCTGATGAGTTCACTTAAAATAAAAATCAGGAATGTTATTTCTCCTATTTTTCTTAGAATTTCCAGAAAATGTGCCTGATTTAAAATTTTTCAAACCCGGATAAAAACTCCCCCATCCCTGGAACTTTCGGGTACTGTGAAAATTTTTCGGAATTTTCTGGAGAATGTGCCCCTTGGAAAATCGTTCCCAAAGCTAGGATTTTTTGGAAAATTCTGGCTTTGGGAACGATTTTCCGAGAAAATTTCAATTCCGGCTATCGGTGAGTTCCGGGTTTGAGGGGTTCCAGCTAACGGAGGTATTACTATTTATATGAAAACGTTATTTTATTTTTATTCTATTTTTCGTAAATACAAAGAAAATAATGGTGTAAATTGCATTGAGTCCTAAGTTAATCAGGGTCTTAAATATGAATCATTGTTAGTAGAACCGTTGTTATCGGAGGCTTTCCTATATTTAAATTTTGAAATTTTTTCCTGAACTGTACTGTACAGTACAGTATTTGAGTTATTTAGACTGTGTAATGATGTCCTTCATATATTTCAGCAATGAACGAAGACAAGTTAACTGATCCTAAGGGTAGTGGAAAGAAACATCCATCGAAACATTTCACCAAGTCTTCGGTATGTTCGTTAGTCCTTGAATCAGACGTGCAGGAGATAACTGGACCTGGCTCTCTGGACAAATATGAAATGGATACCGTGGAACCAGCCATGGCTTTAAGCACTCCTGTGATGAACTCATTTATTAACACAACCTCTCAAGATGTTTTGCTGTTAAATATGGCCATGGACTCAGTTGAGGACAATGCAGGATATAATGAGAAATCAAATATGTCGGATGTACTACAGAAAAAGGCAGTTAAAACCAACGTAATCACTGTCTCAGAAGATGATGTTGTCCCCTGCTCTTTAAATACTCAAGAGATGAAAAACTTGCAGACATTGAAGTGTGCAACAGTTTTTCATCCAAAATCAGTTATATCTTCAGAGTTACCAAGCAAGTTTAAGGGAGATTCTAGAAATATACATCACTCAGAACATGAAACCAATAAAGCCACAGATACCAGAGAAGCCATTACTGGCACGCAACAAAAGAGATGTAGGCGTACAAAAGTTACAAAGAAAAGGACATCAGTCGGTGAGGATGATACACAAGGAGTGGAAGACACATCAGTGCACCTTACTTCAGTGGCATCATCTAAATCAGAGAAGATGCTCTCACACAACAATGCAGAATTATCTAGTGTAATATCAGATTCTAAAAAAAAAGGTAGGAAGATTCCCAGAAATAGTTCACCTGTAGAAGCCACACGTGTATATTACTTGCGTAGTCGCCTTAGATCTCAAAGTGCAGATGGAACTGCTCAACACTCGACTGATTTGAAGGCTAAAGCATCTTGCAAATCAAAGAAAGCATTCACTTCTCCCAAAGTTTCTTCACCCAAGTATGGATATGAGAGATCAAGACGTAAAACCTTGGAACCTGATATTATTGCAGTATCTCCCAGAGGTAAGTCATGGCAGTGTGACATCTCAAAAAAGAGCACTTTTGATTGTTACCTTGTAAGTATGTACTGTATATTGTATATAAGCATACCCCCATATGTTGAGGTGTGCTCGTTCTTTACCAAAGTGAGGTATGAGTGACCTCTACACCCCATAGTTTATTTCCAACTTTTTCTATTCCCTCTAATTAATCTTTTGGTGAGAAAAGGTTTTGGGCATGCATTCTCATTAACTTCATCTCTTGCCCTTGAACATCCATGGAAAGACAAAATAAACGGATCGTGGGCATTCCTGCTAGATCACAGTCACCAAAAGGGGGGCAGGGATAGAATATGAAATTGAAACCAAAATTTTTTTAGTATTGCTAGAGGGTGACTTTGATGAACATGGACCAGGACAACAATTTAATAATTACAAAGTAGTAGTTAAGAGACTGGGAAAAATTTACAGGGTACTATAAGGGGAACGAGGGTAAAAGTAAGTGGGTGACTTATGAGACCTAGAAAAATGGCTAGACGAAGAAATGTGAGAAAACGAAGTAAGGGTTAAAAAAAAGAAAAACTCAAAGGGAATGCAGATAGAAAGATTATTTAAAGAGGAAATGCAAGGAGATTGAAGATGATGCCAGAAGGCTTAATAATGGGGAATTGTACATAAAGGTTAATCAAATGAACCAAAAAGGGGAAATAATGGATGGAGCTACTTATGACCAAAGAGAGTAAGATCCTGTTTGAGACAAGGAGTAAGAGAGTTTCAGAACACGAGGGGGTATTCCGTCCGGTCCATGCGCCTTACTAACATCCAACCTGGATAACACACCGGCAACCCTGCGAGTGTAGATGATAGGAAAGTGCATAGGTTCAGTAGGAGGAGCAGGGATAGAGTGGGAATCGTCTAAGATGAAATTGGAGGAGAATAAGGTGCCAAAGAGATTGTCTTTGTCAGGAGGAGAGTTGGCCATAGAGTAATCAGGTCGGAAAAGAGGGAGTGCAGAAGTTATTACAGATGTTTTTGGTTAAGGACCAGAAGGATTTACTGGAGGAAGAATTAATCAGGACAGCGGTCTTTCTTTTTATAAAATTCCATTTGACCCAATGATTTCTAGAAGTAATGAAAGGGGTGTGGGTAATAGGAGGAGGAGATAGTTTCATAGCTCGATATGCCCTATCTCTCACCCTGCATGCAAGAGAGCAGGAGCGATCAAACCGTGATTGTAATGTGAAAGTTTTGGTAGAAGATGGGATAAATGTACTCATACCACCCTGTATAATCCCAGCAATGCTGTCAGCACATACAAAGGCATCCCGAGTGGAAAAGCAACATTCATCCCAAGGAAAGTCGGTAAAGAATTCTCTCAAGGATTGCCAGTTTTCCCTCCAATAGTGACATAGTTGACGTTTAGAGAGGGGGTGGGGGAGGTGAGGCGGTCGTGCCCAGTTTGATTTCATAGAAATAAGATTGTGATCAGAGGACCCTAACGGGGCAGAAATTGAGTATGAATAGTGTGAAGGGTTAGAGGTAAAACAAAGATCAAGAATGTTAACAAGTTGATCGTGTCGATCAGGAACGCGTGTAGGGTGTTTGATTATTTGTTCCAAATCATTAAGTAGGGAAAAAGAGAGTGCCTCCGCTCCACCTGGGTCATCCCTTGCAGAGCCAAGCCACTGTCTGTGATGTACAGTCACATCCAAAGTTTCGACACCCCTCTGGCTGGGTGTTCGCTGAGGCCAGGGTTGAGGTATGGATGGGTGATCGGACGCAGACATTCCATCACCACAACACTCCGAGACTCACAGCACACGAGCATCGTCGTGCCTCGTTACCACATTGCTGTACTAGTCTGCATCTGATCACCCAGAGAACAGTATAGGAAATAAAGAAAAATAGTCACAGTTGGTAGAAGATATTTTGAGCCAGATGACATCATAAAGGGAAGATTCAAGATCCCTGAGTCGAGCTATGGGTGTACGTGTGTTGCAGTAGTCGCATGCCCCTCCCTTAGAATGGAAGGAGGTATAAAGATTTTTGTTGGAGACTTGAAAAGGTTTGGGTGAAGCTGCTTTGGACAGTTGAAGTTCGGAAAGTAGCTAGAGGTCGGGAGAAGAGGTTAATAGATGGTGCTCCACAGAAGGAAAATTGGATCTCAGGCTGCGAATGTTGGAAAAATGAAGTGTGAAAAAAGCCGATTCTTCAGCAACCGCGGTGGTGTTAGTTGAGGCCTCAGTAACTTGATGATGATCAGGTCGGCTCTGGGGTCCACAACCTTCCCGACCAATGGGATCCATCCAAGGCGGCCCCGCTTCAATATTAATATCAACTGACATAGGAGAATAAAACAGATCAAGAATGAGTACGGTTATATTTGTTGTGTTGTCAATAGTCAGGGAGACAATTGAGACCCTGCAATTGTGTATAAATGAGGCAAAAAGATAGATCAGCAACCTGGGACTACGTCACGATTTTTTTAATGCCATATGGCAGCAGGGTCTACCATTAGACAATACATTATGCTTCCAATATCTTCCCTGGCGGTAGTGCCTCCCTGTTTGGTAGCTGCCTACTACCTAAGACATATCGGGTGTTGTTCCTCCTCCAGCAATGCAACTTTCCGTGAGAGGTAGATGAGAAAGTTTTTTCGTCGGTGAATATTACTCTTCCCCAGAAATGTAGGCCTTCTTCAGCATACCGTCGAGCAAACTGTAACATGCCCTCGCGATGTCGCTCATTTAACTTTTCCTTGGTGGCGGGAGTTCTACGGTGAATGCCACCTTCGTGAAGTCTTCGCCTGATTGTTAAAGGGGAAATATTTAATTGGAGATCCTCTCTTATTGAAACTGAAGTCTTGAAGGGGTTGGCCTCAGCAAAATTCCGGATGGCTTTAACTTGTGCAGGTGTTGTTCTGCGCGGCATTCCCATCCTGTGGTGGTCCTTTAAAATTCCCTCTTCTTCCCATCGCTTAATCCAATAATATGCAGTTGACTGAGAAATACCCAATTCTCGGGCAATTTCAGTGGGTGAAAACCCAGCCTCCTTCATGCCGATTATTCTTTCATGTTCAGTAAATTTTATGCATGTGGTATTTCATGTTGGCAGGGGCCTTCTACAATTGAGGGAGTGGAAGGGTAGTCAGTACTGACTACACCTCTGTCTCCCTCACCTTCCCGCCAATAATGTCAGCATTAAAATTTATAATACATCATACACATTTTTTAAAATATAGAATTTATTTTTTTTTTAAAGACACCAGACTAAAAGGGACGTAATCTACACAAGTCAGAAACAAGGATTGGGGAGGGGGGCAAATAGTCACTCAATGAAAGAAATACCATTTGCTGTTTCCAATATTCATAGTCTTGGAATGACAATGATATTGCTAGATAAAGGCTTGTAAAAGTATTAGGCGTATGCTACTGCACTAATTCACACCATGAGACGGATGGTTCGTAATATAAATTACCATTGCCTTCATTTAAACAACGTCATTATTAAACACACACACACTTACTACAGGTAGCAGTGAACCGATGATTCTGCTTAATACCACAGCAAATTAAAACGGCAGTTTGCGTTGCATGAAATCAGAGTCTTTAGAAAGAAATGTGTTTAGCATCGGTTACACATGACTGGATTAATTACCCGAAAGGAATTAACGTTCAAAGATAATATTAGTATAAATTAATGATAAACAAGCAACCTCATAAACAACCTGGGAGGGGAGTTGAGTCCATTATTTGAATGGACATTAACCTGGCGACTGTATTTCTCTTAAATACCATCATAAAATTAAGATGTTATTTTTACTACAACATAGGTATTGTCAGAAAAAGTGGAGTTTGGGAGTCGGCCCAGTCTATTTCAATTAATCCCATATGTTCTGTTATTCCATTTACACGTTTCTTGTTTTACGCAGACCTCTGCGGGTTCAATTGACCGCGTAAATCGGGGTATTACTGTACTAGAGGTTTTGGATTCGTTTAATACTTTCTGTCTTTTCGTACAGTAAATAAAGATTATAAAGTGTATGTTGAAACTTGAATGTAAACTAATGTTTAATTTCATTTGTCCATTTAATTATTTGCGTACACCGTGATCATCATCTGATCTTGGCATGCTATACCTTTTTGGAAAGCTCTATGTCTAAGCTACAAAACAACATATGAAAATTTCAGAGCTCTAGGTCTGTTTCTAAGGGTTTTAGAGCAAAAAACAAACAAACCGAAGCTAAATTCATATAATAAAAGTTAACGTTAGCTTCCGCTAATTTTTTTAGCGGTTTAGCGTTAGCGAAGTTAACTTTTTAGTTAGCAGATTAGCGGTTAGCGAAGCTAACTTTTCGTTTAGCTGTGCCTACCACTGCAAATATTAATAGGCAAAGTTGAGGGTAGGAGGGCCAGGGGAAGGCAGAGACTGGGATGGGTGAATGAAATTAAAATCTAGGTCCCCAGAGAGAGAAAAAAAGCCCTTAGAGAATTGATAACAGCAGTCCGAGAAAGGTTAGTGTTGAGGAATGTCGTCGCCAACCCTCAGATATGACGACTGTACTCTGATTGACTGGTATACTGAGGTAAAATATTTGCTTTGCATAATTGTTATGTAACTAATACTTATTTGATTCCCATAACTTCATGTGCTATTATTGTATAGTAGTCTACAACTCCAACTACTAATGAACTAATGATTCTTGTTCTGTCTTACCAGATACTGACACTATTCGACTTAGGACTCCAAGGGTTGACACTATGGAACCAGCCACTCCAAGGGCTGATGCTATGCTACCTGTAGCCACTCCAAGGACTGACACTATGCAGCCAGCCACTCCAAGGGCTGACACTATGCAGCCAGCCACTTCAAAGACTGACACTATGCAACCAGCCATTCCAAGGTGCAGCACTATGCAGTCAGCCATTCCAAGGGCCAACACTAAGCAGTCAGCCACTCCAAGGGCCAACACTAAGCAGTCAGCCACTCCAAGGGCCGACACTATGCAGCCAGCCACTCCAAGGTCCAACACAATGCAGCCAACCACTCCAAGGGCTAACACTATGCAGCCAGCCACTCCTATGGCTTACACTATGCAGCCAACCACTCCAAGGTCCAACACAATGCAGCCAACCACTCCAAGGTCCGACACAATGCAGCCAACCACTCCAAGGTCCAACACAATGCAGCCAACCACTCCAAGGTCCAACACAATGCAGCGAACCACTCCAAGGGCTGACACTATGCAGCCAGCCACTCCTATGGCTTACACTATGCAGCCAACCACTCCAAGGTCCAACACAATGCAGCCAACCACTCCAAGGTCCGACACAATGCAGCCAACCACTCCGAGGTCCAACACAATGCAGCCAACCACTCCAAGGTCCAACACAATGCAGCGAATCACTCCGAGGTCCAACACAATGCAGCCAACCACTCCAAGGGCTAACGCTATGCATCCAGCCACTCCAAGAGCTGACACTATGCAGCCAGCCACTCCACGGGGTGGCATTATGCAGCCAACCACTCCAAGAAGTGATGGTCTACAGTTTGCAACTTCTGAAACTTGTAGGGCTGATGCATTGCAGCCTTCTGCTCCAAACGCTACTCAGGATGATGCTCTACAACATATTGGTCCAGACATAATTAACACTTATTGCTCTGCTTGTCCTAGGATTGAAGTTGCACAGAATGTCACTCTAAAGATTCCTCTGCAGGTTGCATCTCTAAGAAGTGAAACATCAAGCCATCTCACTCTTAAGGCTAAAACTATGCCAACTTCTACCAGTAATGTAGATACACTGCCTGTCAATTCAAGGGGTGATGATCAGCAGCCTGATACTTCAGGGGCTCTCAAGTCTGACACTCCCCATCCTGTCACAGATAAGCCTAGCTCTCCCATCAGCCCAAGTTGTGATAATCCTGTGGATAATACTCCAAGGCCTGGTACTCCATGGCCTGATAAGCATAGGTGTCACACCCCAAGGCCTGATACTTCATGGCATGGTAGCCATTGGCCAGATATCCATAGGCCTCATACTCCTGGGCTTGAAACCACTGGAAAACGTGATGAATTACCCACAACTTCACTTTCAAATGTATGCCCAGACCTAATGAGCTCTTCCTTGCCCTTCACACCAAAATCTCCACCAACAAGGTCCCGAACATGTAGGATTTTCTCGCCAAAAGACTCGCCAATTATAGATAAAGATGACCTCAGTCTGTGTTTGGAAGATTCTTCAGGTGTAGATATCCAAAAACATGACACAGATGATGGTAATCCGAGAAAGGAGCTTGATTGCCAATCTTCATTTGAAGTAGACCATTCTAAATCAAGAGAGCTCGTTTTATCAAGAGAAATCCAACTTTTTGAAACTTTACCTGCAACTGAAAATACAAAAATAGTTGAAAAAGACAACCAAGAGAATACTGACTTGAGTATAAAAGATAATGGGTTTACACTTCATGATAAGAATGATAGTTCTAATTATTCCATTGGAGTTAGAAACAGAAAAAGTCCAAGCAAGGCTTTGGAAACTACATTAATGATTCTAGCTGGTTACCCTGTCAAAGCTTCATACTTGACTCCTGTCAAAGTACCATATTGCACAGACATCAGCATGTTGGGCAGTAAATCAACAGGTGATGTGAAGAAAAGGGAGAGAAAAATGAGAAGAAAATCAAACTCCAATTTGCCACTATATAAGAGCAGTGGGAAATCCACCACATTTTCATATGGATTAGAGGAAAGGGGGGTAAAAACTTTAAGGACCAAGAAAAAGCTTTTTGACACTACATCTCATTCTTTGTTGGAAGGAAGTCCCCCACATACTAGTACTCCACATGAAGTTTATACTTTTGATGAGAAGGATGATGCTTCAGAAGTTTCTCCTTACTCCAGACAAAATGAAAATAAGGTCTGTAGAAGGAAATGCCAAAGTGTCACCAAGAGAAATTCAGAGAAATCTTTTTTCAAAAACAAGAGATCTTCAAATAGTAGTCGCAAAATTGATGAGAGGAATGACAGCTCTTATGAAACAGACAAGAATGATAAAATGCCTGAAAACAATACTGGCTCAAGACTCAAAAACTTGAATAAATCCAAAACCAGTGAAAAAGAGAGAGGGAAAAGGCCTTCACAGAGGAACATATCAGCTGGTGGACTTTTTGAAGACCCACAAGTTGTAAGCATGAAATCTGTCATACATGATGTTTATTCAGATTTTGATAGTCCAGATCAATGCATAGAAAACAGTTGGTTCTACAATCAGAAAGAAGGTCGGAAATTTGAAGGGTCTACATATTCTATGAAAAGAAAATCTTTGTCACGATTAGATTTGTTTGACAACAGACCTGAAGGTGATTGGAAGCCTTTTAAAGAAAGAAAAAAAAGAATATCCAAAGAATTGAAGGGAGAGGTTTTGAAGTCACACAGGAAGGCAACTGTTAATAAGAGTCGCAGAAAGAAGCAAAATAGCCAAAGTTTTGCCAAACACTTTTCTTCCACTGATAGACACTCTGATATTGATACTGACAATAGATCAAGTAGACTTGAAGAAAGCTCTGATTTAATTATATATGAAGAAGGATGCAAGAATGCTCAGAACGAGGCTCTTGAAATTTTACGCCATACCAGTAAAAGCTCAGTTGAGTCTAACACCCAGAATGTAATGGAATACAAACTTTTTCCATCAAAAGCAAAGGACATGGATGAAAGTCAAAAGAGGTCGAGGACTGACTTGGAAGAAAGTTTTGGATTTTCCTCACCTGAATTAATGGCACATCAGGTCAAGCAGCCACATACTAAACGTATTCGAAAATCTGTCGAAGATAAGGGAATTAAGTCCTTGGTTGAAAATATTCTTCCACAACAGCAAAAACCTTCAAGTCAAATGAGGCCAGTTGTGAAACCTAGCGATGTTCCAAATCCTCCACATAATACTCCTGTAACTGATCTCTCAACTCAGCCATTTGATACCAGGGATATTAGTGTTATTCTTTCAAATCGGCTAAATTCCCAAAACGTCTCGTCCGGCAGGCTTCAGAGCACTTTAATTGAAGAAATAAATCATCCCAATATACCCAACGAAAGGTTTAGTTATGTAACTGAGTTAAACTCCTCCTATAACAGTCTTCCAGTTGACCCTTCCAAGAGTGAGATGGAAACACAAAATTCTTCTTTAAAAGACATACAAGAGAATGATATTTCACCACTACTTAATAAAGATATCAGCTCAAAACTTGACTTTGATAACTCAAGTGAAGAAGGTTTTCAAGAGCCATTTGAAATGATACCAAAATGTTCTTGGATGTCATTGCATGAAGATTCAGAAGAATCAAGGGAAGATGTTTCAGAAAAGAAAAACGAATTAACTGAGGACCATTTGTGCCACCTAGAGAACCAGGCAAGCATATCAACTACCAATAAACCTCAGATTTCTGAAAAGGCATCTGACTCTCAAGATCACCTCCAAGAAAAAGTGAGTAGTCTACCTATGCCCTCACTGCAGAACTGTTGTAAATCACAAAAAAATTATAATGATAATTTAGACGCTCGAGGTGGTTGTGAAGAAAATGTAAGTGGACCTTCATCTATGATTTCTGTTACCCTCAATAGTCTTCTTAACAGGCTCACAAACAAAGCTTCTAGTGAACCTGCTTCAAAGCCTCAACATACACCAAACAGTTCCAGAATAGTAAGTGCCTTCACCTTTACAAATTATTGAGCATCTTAAAGTTTTATCAGCTTTACTGATTGATTGGTGATCTTGAAATTATTTTAAACTTGACTGATACACTACTGTTATTTTTTTCATTTATTAATGGGTTGATAGGGTAAGTACTGGATTTTATTTTGTGCATTTTAATGTAATTTTAGATACAAAACTGGGCATTTGGTAGTTATTTGTGTATGGGACCTTGTGAAACTGGTGACTATACTCATCAATTTTGAATACTTGCCGTCCTCCCTTCTTTATTTCTGAATTTCCCCCTTAATACAGTACTGTAGTATGAAAGTACAATAAACCCTTGCTATTCACGGGTTTGCGATACGCGTTTTCGACTTCACTATAAGCAGATGGTGGCTAGCTTATGAGCCTGCCCGCAGCACAACGAGTCACCTCCATGCACCCGCAGCATCTCCACTCCCTTTGTTTGCGCTCAACCATTGCCTGTGATGCAGCATCTCTTGTGTTGTACTGAAAACTTTCTTGTTTCTGTGTGAAATGGCACTTAAAAGACTGCTTAGTATCAGTGCTAGTGATGCGAGTGGAGTGAAACGTTTAGAGACCTCAAAGCCAAAAGGAAACAACTACCAATCATGAAGTTTTTCAAGAAGAACCAGCTGCTTGCCCAGCTGATTCGTTTCCCTCACCTACTCGGTCAGCTGCTGCCGCCACTCCACCCCCACCGGCCACGCGCCACTCCACCCCCGCCTCCTCACCATGCGCCTCTTCTCCACCCGCCTCCTCTCCACCAACCACCACTGCATCATCCTCTCCAATAGTGATCCTGTTGGTCTCCTTATGCTTCAGTAACCAGATTTCATTCTACTGTACAGTACACTTCACCAAGTTGCAAACATCCACATACGAAGGAGAGTAGTACAGTATTGGCGACTTAAGTTTCTCATACGCAGTACAGGTGTAGAGGTATACTGTAATGCACTAAGGTACTAAAGGTAGTACAAGTTGCTATTCGTGGTTTTGGAATTTGCGCCATTCCTTGGAACCTAACCCCCGCGAATAGCAAGAGTTTACTGTATGAGGTTTTACTGTAACGTTGATATGATGTTTCTTAATTTTCAGTTGGCTGAGATATGTGTTCTTGTACATTTGATATTATTATTGTTGGTTTTTAAATGGTTTCTCTTGTCTACTTCAAAGTAAGAAGAATTAATTTAAAAAGCAATGAATATCTCTGTAGGCCAAGTGAACCTAACCTAAACCTAGCCTAACCATTTAGACTTAGGCCCAATAGGATTTAGGTCCCTTTTGAGCAGTTATCATAAATTTCCATTTTCATATCAAATATGTGTAACTGTAAATTGTGTCTCTAGGAATCGACTCCGGTTCACCCAGCACCCAGAACACTTTTTGTTACTTCTAAGGAAACTCTGTCTGAAGGACAGGAAAAAACAGCCCCAACAGCTCAGAATAGTTACTGTGATTCTCTGCAGAACATACAGACTTGCATAGAACATATTGCAGATGGACTATACAGGTAAGAATCTTATATTGAGTTATTGTGTAAGGGGGGGGGGGTCACCCCTTCCTTCTCAGGAGGGTTGAGACTAAATAGTTCTCTTGAGCTGCTAGCCTTAAGATCAAGAAGCCACTGTGAGGTAAATGGTCAAGTCCTAGTTTTTAAGGTTAATATTTCAATCAGTCTCGATGAAGGAAAGCACAGAATTTAATAACAAATCTTTAAAATAGCAAAATAAACAAACGAACATAAAAGGGTCGAGATAAGTCATAGGACAACAGGTTGTCTAATCTGGTAAAATATATTGACCAGGAGTCGGGTGTGAGGTCATGTTGTGTTTTGTTATCCCCTGTCAGGTTGACAGTTTTCATGCAAAATTTGGCTAGTTTTGGGGTCTTGGGCTGTTCAGGACTCACTGTCTAGGTCTATATTAAGTCATTTATGAGTAATGGTCTCAATTCCTGGCCTTCCTTTGCCTGGTGTCACCCCCATTTGATTTGGGAGTATTTATCTAATTTACCTAATGGCTCCCATGTCTTAATTGGGGGTGAGTGGCCTGTGTAGGGTACTCCACTGTTCTTGATAGTCTTTGTATACAAATTGTAGATTTTCTTCAGGTATTCCAGTTTTCACTTATCAGTACACTGAATCTGTACAGGACAAACCATCAGGAATAACAGGGATTTAACAAGCCATTGGCAAAAACGACTAAAGATTAATGACCAGTGAATAAACTCTTGATAATGACAGTTGATATAGATACCGTATATGAAAAGTTTACCACAGCTCAGTTACTTATAAATTAATAAAATTTTTATATATTTTGTGCTACATCATAACATTGTTGCTGGTAAAGCATTATGAAAGTTTTTACTGTTACAAATTCTCAAGTACTGTATTGAATTGACCTGGAGCCCTCTATTGTTTCCTGTTACTTGTAGCTGGAAAATGGAAGACCTTCAAGTATGTTTTATTATGCTAATAGTTTCAACAACCAATATACAATAGCCATATTGTATAATGCTGTCCTAACCAAGCAGAGTTGGGTCTATTTGTACATCAGCTAATTTTTGGTCGCATTGCTGCTGCATACAGTATTTGCCGAGATTGAATATGGTGAAATGCAAGAGGATGGAACTGCATCGTATTAATACCTGTTGTAGGGAAATTTATACATGTCCAAACGTGATGATGAATTTCCTTAAATGAAACCAAATGTGGAAAATATCTGGGCTTTTATGTTAAAAATGAACTGAAGTTTTTGGGTTACTGTGAAGGATAATCTTGTTAATAGGACTAATGCAAAAATCCTACTAATACTCAGATGGCCTGTTACTCATAGGGCTCTTCGAAATTGTAGTGCTACCTCATTTACAGTACAGGGTACCTGTACTGCAGTTCTTCTTAGTCATTGATATACAGTACGGTATATATAAAAAACTGCCCATTGACTAAGAATGTCCAGAGGAGGGGCTAGCAAATTAGTACTGGCACTCAGACACCTCACCAAGAGAGATTATAATGTCTACAGTTGCCGAGTAACACAACAGAAGGGTAAGGGGCATTTTGATAGAAGTTTATAAGCATCTCATAACATCATATGTGTTTATCTGAAATTATTAGATGGTTACCTCACAAGAGGTCACAGCCTTACGTTAAAATTATCAATACAGGAATTTGCTAGAACCAACTTTTTTGGCATAGGACTTGTGTACTCTTTAAAGGATCTGCCAAAGGGTTTTGGGACAGTGTAAACTGTGAATTTCTCTAAGCCTAGATTTAACCAACACTGGAACATTTTCAGGTACAGTCTCGTTCAAAATTCTTTGAACACTGCTGGAGACAGCTGGCAACTCAAGGCCGTTCGTTTACCATCATATGTAGTATAATATAATACGAAACAACAAAGCCCAACCATTAATTAAGCAACGGGGAACTAAGTAACCAATCACTGATAACCTTTTACATTCATTCATAATTTTTACTACGTACTATAGTAAACAAATGACCTTGAGTTGCCAGCTGTCTCCAGCAGCGTTTGAAGAATCTTGAACGAGACTGTACATTCAAGAGCCTGTTATGTACCCAGTACTTGCCAACATTGCTCAACAGAAAACTGACTTACAATCCTGTTGGTAGTGAGATGGTAATTGCTAAAGAAGATAAAGTTAAAATGAGCAAGCATATTATTTGTGCCACCTTAATCACCTCCAACATTTTGAATTTCCCTTCTAAATAAGTGGAGACTTGTTTTTCCTCATTTTTGAGATTTTATGCTTTCAATCATTTAACATAGTATATATTTTCGTTAATTATATGATCCTAGATAACTTTGTATGGTGTCATGGCACTACCTTGAGATGAATTTTAAACCCGATTTAAACGTAATGTTATTTCTGCAAATCCCGGTGTGCCTTCCTCCTGCACAGTTTGCATGCGTATTTGCTTTACTTACCATGTTTGTCACTTGTCAAGTTGCTTTGTCATAGTATATGTACAGTACACTGTTGGTCATCCCTCATTTTGTCACTTTTCAGGCTTTCACTGACAGCATGTATTAGGGATACACAAGCTCATGAATGCACCAAAATACTGTATGCACCAAACCTGTACTTGAAAAAGTTCATACTTGTTTCCACATTTTATACTGGTATATTGTTCCATGAATTTGCCTCTTATTCCATTGAAGGTAATTCTGCTAATGAGCCGATCAGTGGTGAAGAGGATAAAAGGGAGTTGGTTTTGTCCATGCACTATTGTGGATACAGTAAGACCATTTATCCTCCACATGTATGAGAGATTAAATTGGTTGTTAAATTTTACATTTTGCTTCTTATAGTGTGACTAAACTCCAGTAGTGTACTTTGTATATCTCTGTAAAAAAGTGTTTGTCCTTTACAGGCTGGCCTCAGCTTTGAAAAGTCATCAAACTCATCATAGGTGAAGTGGATAGATCCTTATGAAACTAACACCATTCAGATCCTTATGAAACTAACACCATTCAGAGTTGGGATCTCCATGGGAGCAACTAGGAAATCTTTTTTTTTTTTATAATACAGTACAGGTATTCTCAGTTGTAAATATCAAGGTTTGGTTTTTTAGTAACACTGAATAGATTGTTTCACTTTACAATCTTTTCAATCATGTAACAGATATTTTAGATATTGTAGTCAAAAGGAAAGGAGTTTTGCTTTTCCATGTAGGTATGCATTACTTTAGGTTTAAATTACAGTGTGGTTCCTTTGCAAAATATAGGTATTTCATATTTCTTATACTAAGCAATATATTTTACAGCCAAACTTTGAATTGTAAATTTTTTGTGCTGCTATACCAAGTGCTACCTGAAAGGAATTACTCACTGTCTTTTCATACTTAACTCCACGATTCATCCTATGCCAGTACAGTACATACTTCCTGTAATTTAACTTTTTCCTCACAGAAAGATAAGACTTACTGTACTGTACTCTTGTTTATGCTCTCTGAACAAGTCTGCCTATTTTGACTGGAAACATAGAAATTGAAATTCTTTTCCATATGTTTGTCTCAAACAAGAATGATTATTTTAACTTTTTTCATGTGATTGACCTCTTGCTTTTCAAGAGTACATTTCACACTGTCATAAGATACATACATATACTTATTTCTCTAATACAGTACAGTACACTGTACTATATAGTACAGTACTTAGGAAATATTAGAATTACTGGTAGCTTTCTTTCATTAGCACTGTATGTGAAGGATATATAACATACAGCTCCGAATGGTGACATATCTTCAGCATCAATAATTTTATGTTTTATCCTTCCTAACCAACAAAGGAAGGGAGACGTAGAAGGTAACAGAAAAGATAGATTAGAAATTATTGTGCATTAGTTATTTTATATTGTTAGACTTCAGATTTTTATCTCCATAAAGATGTTAAAAAATTTATTAATATTATAGTCAGTTACCCATGATCAATGGACATGCAGTGATTATGAATAACCTGGTTTCACCATTATCTTATTTTACTCTGGCTGCAACCACTGGCTGCCATCCCATCTTGTATTTCACCAGAATTTTGTGTAATTGTATTACAGTTTGGTACAATAAACAATCTAATAGTATGTACTAACCACAAAATATGAGATTGTCTTTGCATCATGGTGAGCTGGCTGAAGGTGAGCCACAGATGGATAAGCACACACTGATCATAGTTGGTTGAATAAAATTTGGATAGATGTATAAGTACTTTACTGAAATGTAAAGACCCCTGGCCAAATTAGGAAAGAAAGGAAAACATTGTAGGCATCCCCACACAGAGACAACGATTTTTTAGTGAGGAACAGTGTTTTTATAAATCTGCTGCATTTAAAAGTACAATATAGTCAGTTGTTGTATGTGATCCCTCTTTTCTTACAAGATGCATACAAAGATGGTTTTCTACATCAATATCACTCAAGGTTAGTGTAAGTGCAAACATGTTCAATTGTTTTGCTTGTAGTTATATCAGAATCATTAATAGTTGATGTAAATGAGTACCGGTGTTATCCATTGTACCCTCATTTTCCATGCTAACATTTGAGAAAATATTTACTACATCTACACTCAAAGGTTTATTAGGGTTATGTATAATCTAAATCTCTGATTAAAGATGCCTTTGTGTTAAGGTGCAACCCTATTACATCCTGTCTTGAAACTGCTTTACAAGAGTAATGATATAGTATCGGTGATAGCAGTAAAGATTTCTGTTAATTAAAAAAGATGAGTCAGTATGCCCCTAAGAAAATTAGTTTCAAATGGCCTGATGTTGATGTTTTGTGTACATAATATATTTAGTTTGAACTAGTACGTATAGAGATGATTATTTCTATTTTAATTTTTGGAAGGAGAACAACTTGAACCAATTTATAATTTATTTTGCGTTTATAGGATAGTTACAACAGTTTTAATAATGGTGAGAATATTTAGATATAACTTTATATCTTTGATTTGTGTGTCAAATGTGTATTAAGAGGATTTTTGTTAAATAAACATAAAAAATAACTTCATCTAATACTTTAACTTGTACACCACTGATTGGCCTTTTAGCTGCTTGGGCAGTTTGTCATGTCTGATATGCACTATTGGGAAGTACTGGGCATGCTCTGGCTCCAGAAAGTATCTTATCTTGCAATGGTCAAGTCCAGTCTTGAATGAGCTCTCACTTGGTGCCATTATAAGACTGGCAGATTATTCTCACTCCATAAAAGTTTACTTTGTCACTTTTCTGAACTTCTGGCTTCTTCAATCTAAGGCTGTGACCCCTAGTACCTCGACTGAGGCACTTATACTATAGACTTCTATTTAATTACCCCTTGCCCGTTGATAGTATAACCTGTATAACTGCAGGTGTTCTAATCTCATTGTCTTCGTATAGAAAGTAACCACAATTTTCTTTTGTGATCTAACTTTTTATGAAAAACAAAATACTGTCGGCTTCAGAAAAGCTCTGCATCAATATTTTATAAAACTGAGTTGTATGAAATGACAGGAAGATACTAGATGGATAGCTCACAGGGCTTGTGGAAGAGGACTTTTTAGACTGTCTGTCTCACAGCAGGTAGAAGGTGGATAGTTCATCATCCCTGGACTGAAACACTTAGTGTGGATGACATGGACACCAAATGGATAAATTATACCAACACCACCATGGAAGCTCGCCACCACTTCTTCCCCGAGAAGTCCATCAGATCACACCCAGCCAGAGCATGCAATTCGGTACGGTACGATTAATTTATTGTAATTCGTACCAAAGGAAAAATACCGTACCGTAATTTTGTACCGTACAAGTACGATAAAATATCGTACACTGACCCTCTCGGCTCTCTCTGACCATCACCACGACCTCATCTGCAAATTTGGTGAGAAGCTTCTGCATCATCCTTGACATCAGCTCCTACTACCACCCGAGTTCCTTCGTTGACGAATTGCTGTTCAACATTACATCCACATCCAGCCTATACGAGCATGTATTGATCGCTATAAGAACAGCCCAGTCCCAACCATTGTAAAAATCATCAATAACTTGTAATCAACCAGTGTATTCACTCCCAGTCAATCTTAACTTTTTGCACCGTCACTATGTTGAAATGCCCTGTAGTATGACCTCCCCTCATAGTTATTATAGTATATCAAATTTGTATCACACATGTTACTTGTACTATATTATTTGTCAATCAAGAGACCCATTCCCCAATTATGTAACTATATTTTCAGCCTTCCAGCTGCCATGCTCTTTTCAATAAACCGTTAATTATTATTATTATTACACACACACACATACACATACAGCAGTGGACTATACTGCACCATCCTCGTCATCACCACCTCCTGCCACCGGCACTACCCCACCCACCTCGCGCAGTCCGCCACTACAACAAAATTCAGCCCACAAGAGCCCACACTGATAGATATAAGAATAGCACCATCCCATCTATTGTTAAAATAATAAACAACTCCTGATATATGTACTGTACAGCCCTGTAAATGTATTGAAAGCAGATCATTGTCTAAATCACATGTAAGTGTATATTTTCAGCTACCGGCTGCAACTCTATTAATAAACCGTTCAGTATTATTATTATTATTATTGTTATTATTGTTATTATTGTTATTGTTGTTATTGTTATTGTTATTGTTATTGTTATACAAGAGAAGGTCCGCTTCCCCCCCCCCAAAAAAAAATATATATGGTGCCAACTGAACGATCCCTGGACACGACCCCCTCTCGAGCTCAGGAGGTGAAGTAGAGGCGAGCGAACAAAAAAAAAAATTGCACCAAATAAAACTAATGAAAGTATGTGCGTGTGTGCATGGCTGAGTGCGTGTGTATGTTGTTCCAATATGTACACTAATTACACACGAGAAAGAGAGGGAAGAGGTGAGTAAAAAAAAAAAAAAATGGGTTAACTTCTCTTGCATCATCATCCCTTTGCTTTCTGTTGCTGCATGTTGCTGCCCTCACCTAGCTTGATCGTCTGCTCTTCTTTAACAAGCTACACACACACACACTGCACCCACACAATCCCGTCTCTTATCACACTCCAGGATAAAGATCATTCCACAGCTTGAACTCACCTGGACACTTGTGCTGAGTTTGCCATCGGTAGAAGGAGCTCGTTCATCGTGTGCCCCTTAATCTGTGATGCTGTTAAGGGGTTGCTCAGCGGGTTACACATACACACATGCACACGCACACAAACACCACATGCACATGCACACACGCATGCACACGCACACACACCCACAGGTTGTATAAAGGTTAGCCTCTAACTGTCGATCCCTGGTATATGAGGAGACTGCTGGCTCCTTGTTTTATGTTCCGATTTAAAATTCTATAACTCTGGGAGGAGGAGTAGGAGAGTGAGCCAGTGAGGAGGAGGAGTAGGAGAGTGAGCCAGTGAGGAGGAGGAGTAGGAGAGTGAGGAGTAGGAGAGTGAGCCAGTGAAGAGGAGGAGTAGGAGAGTGAGCCAGTGAAGAGGAGGAGTAGGAGAGTGAGCCAGTGAGGAGAAGGTGTAGAGTGGGTCAATGAGGAGGCGGCGGAGAGTGAGCCAGTGAGTAGGAGTAGGAGAGTGGGTCAATTGAGGAGGCGGCGGAGAGTGAGCCAGTGAGGAAGATGAGGAGGAGAGTGGCTCAGTGAGGAGAGTGACCCAGTGAGGAGGAGGAGAGTGGCCCAGTGAAGAGGAGGAGAGTGGCCCAGTGAGGAGGAGGAGAGTGGCCCAGTGAGGAGGAGGAGAGTGAGTGGGGAGGAGTGACCCAGTGAGGAGGAGGAGAGTGGCCCAGTGACCCAGTGAGGAGGAGGAGAGTGACCCAGTGAGGAGGAGAGTGGCCCAGTGAGGAGGAGGAGAGTGGCCCAGTGAGGAGGAGGAGGAGAGTGGCCCAGTGAGGAGGAGGAGAGTGGGCCAGTGAGGAGGGAATTTTGTTCTCATATCTCAGTTATTTTACACAACCAAGTAGAAAAGATGTAATTAGATAAAAGATATGGTATTATTGCATTTTCGCACCACACATTCCTACCCTTAATCTATTATCATATTCGAATAAGTCGTCTAATTATAAGATAATTTTCTTCTATTACATTTCCGTCACAAATGTATAATAACTGAGATAGCATATCCCAAATTTTCTCTATTTCTTCGATTAATCTTCCGCCATTATCGCCTCTCACACTGCGTCTCCTTCATGCGTCCCCGTACACGCCACGCGGCCAATCAAAAGCGTTTTTTGGGGGTCAACCAATTAAAATGATTTGTGGTTTAATTCGCGGTATTTTTGGCCCAATCAAATTCGATTTTTGTTTTGGGTCTCATATTTCCAAATTAAAATTCATTTCCGACCATGGAAGTCTGCGATGGGTGTCACTTAAAGTATATGGAGCTGTTTGAGAGTTTTGGAGAAAAAGAAAACAAAGAAACTAGCATTTTTAAGATCTCACGGTGTTCTCCCGACCTCAGTGCAGGAACGAGTGTGAATATGGTCAAGACCATTGTGGTAACTCATCCCTTATCCCAAAAACAAAGAAGAGACGGCCAATAAGGTAAGAAATAAGTGATTTCATCATATGGTGAGAGTCAGTTAGATTAGGTTAGGTTTGGTTTATGTTTTTCTAGTGTTTTTTTTGTGTATTTTGTATTTGCTTAGCCATTATTTTTTTTTTCAGCAAACGCCCACGAAAAAGAATTCGATAAAAAAACCCGACCAATTTCCGACGGAAGTGAAGGTCATAATCGGTCTAAACACACATAAATACACTAGAAAAATATATTTTTTGACTTTCTAACGGAGTTGGGTGCGCTTACCAAAGATATAACTTTAACATAACGGTGAAACACACGTTATCGTGAGTCAAATTCCTGCATTGTCACTTTATATTCCAATGGTCAACCTGAATAAAAAGTACCGTCAGTTTTGATGATCTAGTTGACTAAATCCAGTGTTGTTCCGGATTGTTTATTTATTCATTTTATTTTTTTACGAATTTTGTGTTTTATTCATGCAATGTAGTGTAATTAACTTAGGTACTTACAATATTTTAAGTTATCCTTTTCACTATTTGTCAGCTTAATAGTGCGTCGATAGGCCGGTTAGTTCACTATTATGGGCTGTTGGCAGATACTGGGTATGTAAATGGGCTTTTGAATATACCAGATCATGTCTTAGTGCTGGTCTGGCCTAATACTGATGACCCAATAGGTGTTAACACTTACCTGCCACTGTGTAAAGTAAAGGAAGCACGATACTTACTTTATTCAGAACGCGTGCGTGCTGCCATTTATGCAAGATGTATTGTATTGGCTCTGGGAGGCTGTAAAGATAATCTGATTACCTAACCTAACCTAACCCTCCCAGGTAAGCTGAAGGTGTTTTAGTCATCAGGTGAAATAAATTGGGGTTGCCACATTTTCAGGTGACTCGATACGTTTTATTAGTAAGTAAGATCTGTGACAATGAATTAGGTTAAATGTTAGTCCACCTCTGAAGCTTGATTATTTTATGAGTGGTCTTCCATAGATGTACTGAGTACTATTGACGTTGTTACTCTCAGACTCTCTCATTATCAAATTGAGTCCATTACAGTGTTTTGTTTTTCTTATTGACTATGTAAAGTATTTCTGATATTTCTCGAAAGATATAATAATAATAATAATAATAATAATAATAATAATAATAATAATAATAATAATAATAATAATAATAATAACTGGTACTTACTGGCGGCAGAATTTCTTTGTCTCGTAAAATACAGTTGCAAAGTTTATTATCCATTTTGACACGTGTGACCTAAGGGCGTTGACCTTGATATTTATTTGAACTATCTTGACCTCCGTTAGTTGATGGTTTGACGAATAATGTGAAGCCTTCTACAGCAAGGTGTTATTGGAAGTGTTTATAATCCTACTTGTATTTATTTTTTTATGTTAATGCCGTGTATTTTCTTTTCACTACTAAACACAGCACCGCCTGTACATTTACTGTGTTTTACCGCTACTGCTGCAGGATTTTGTATTGGTAAACGGGTGGATTTTGTTATTACAGGAAATCCGCGAAAATAGTGTAATTTCTAATCATAAAATCCATGACATTTGTATTTTTTTTTAGATTAAAACAAAATTCTGCGGTATGGGTTTAGTACAGGGTATACTAAGCCTTCAGTACATAAGGCAGCAGTCATAATGTTGGTCACTTGTTAAGCAGAGGGTGTAGTGTTATGATGGCGTATGAACGTAACCTAACGTAACCTAAACGAACCAAATTTAACCTATCCAAACCTAACTTAATTCGACTTAATATTTTGCTGGTATGAAGGACTTTGTGTGTGTGTGAGAGAGAACAAGAGAGAGATGTTTCGGGAGTTTGCCAGAGAGTCTATAGTTATTGAGGGAGGTGGCGGAGTAACAATGGGTCAACATTATCTGTGGAACATCTGTATTACCAGTGAAAATCGAAGACCGTCCAGTTTGCCCTACTAAAGCCGACATACGCACGCCCGCTTCGATGTTGGAGGGAGGAAAGGAGGGCGTGTGGCCGTGCCCCTCCCTCCCTGAGTGGTGGTGGTGGTGGTGGTAGAGGTGGAGGTGGTGCGCTGCTCAGTGTGGCTGGGGCAGTAGTCCTCACCTGTTGTTGCCAGGACGCGCGAGGGCTCAGTGCTGTGTGTGCGGCCGAGGGGTGAACACCGTGTTAGGTCCAAGACTGTCCCCCCCTCACTCAAGGCACTGTACGCCCCTCGCCCTTCCTCTTCCCTCGTGTGATCGCAACCCTTCAGTACTCCCTTTATTAGACCAATAAAGGTTAACTCCTGAACGTGTGGATCTGTTTTGATGTGAAGAGTGTGAGTTATCGTTCACAAACAAGAAGAAAAGGAAAAAACAAATATTAATGAAACCCCCGAACTATACGATGCAATGAGCGCTTAAGGAGTGTTGGGAGGTAGGTGTGGAATAACGCCCCCGCCCTCTCTCCCATCACCCCCCCCCCCCCATTGTGTTGGAGTAATACATTAGTGACAAGGAAAGAGTGATCTCATAGTTACACGCCTCTGATATGAAGACTTGTACTCCATTATCCGTTTCCTCCCTCCCGCGTGAGTATATCTGGCTGTGGCGTTGTGGTCTGTCACAGGAGTGGTAGACGAAGGAAAGGTGTGTGTGTGTGTGTGTGTGTGTGTGTGTGTGTGATAGATAAACTCCCCGCAGTGACGCACAC